GATTATGTGTTATTTCAAAGAGAAGGTGTCCTCCACCAATGGCCTAGTATTAAGAATGTGACTACAAATGCATTTATATTCTGTGTGGTGGCTTGCCCTTAATAATGGTTTGATTTCTTTTTCATTCTCACACTGGAAGCATTATCAGGTGCCCTTAATACTATTAATTATCATAAGTTTATTATTATGAATATTTGTTTCTAGTCTTAGTTTTACTTAATTGATATAATTTCTTTGTGAATACTGAGTGTGTACTGTTAAACATGAGAAGCACGCATGTATGTTCACGGCTGAATGTGAAGAGAGAAGAAACGCCATGGTCCATCTGCAGCAGCACAACTGGACGCCATCATCTCCCCAGCTGCAACAAAACATGTCTCTCCTTTATCAGTCTCTACAGACGCTGCAACCTTCCAGCAGTGACTTCAGCCCCAAAGGCTCACTCCTCTATTATCTCCCAATACTGACAGATGCCAACAATGGGTAGCTAAAGTTGATGACAGATATACAATGTACCAGTGGCAAAAGAGCAGTGGCGTAGCGTGGGTTGTCAGCACCCGGGGCAAGGCAAGTAATTTGCGCCCCCTAACCCGTGGATTTGCGCCCCCTAACCCTAACCCCCAGATGTTGCGCCCGGTGCGGCCGGGCCCCCCCTGCACCCCCCACGCTACGCCACTGCAAAAGAGACATTCCTTGTGCATTAAAGTGTATACTTCAGATAGGCAAATGGAAGCTCAAAATGATTTTCAGAAGATTCCCTTACCAAAAAGAGAGAAATGTATCTCACAGGTGCCAAGAAAAAAAGATTGATTCTTTGTTCTTGTAGTATGCCCAATGCATTTCAGCTACAAATGCCTTAGTCAAGGGCTTATATAAAAATATAGCAATGAGACCTTTATTATACAATTACCAAACCACACACTAAAAATTCTCTAAAAACTCAGACTGTGCCAACATGTAATGTAATAAAATTCCTGTACAAATTAAGTATTTAATGGGAAACCTATTTTAAGCCAAAGCCAGCCATGACACAAAAAAAGGAAGACAGTACTTGGTTCCTAACATCTTGCTTTGTTAGGGCAAAATCTCGTGGGAGGGCCACCTCATGTTTGGTACAAACGGTTATTATCTTTTGACAAAGGCATTTGTGAGTGAACACACTGGCTATATTACAAAAATGAAGAACCCATTGGTTTTCCTGGCATCTGTGAGATATATTTCTCTTTTTTGGACGCTATTCTTGGATGCTTCCTGTTGTCAGGATGTTTTCCTCAGAAGATTCCCTTCTGGTCCCCAGACCCCAGCATTGCCTCTCATTCCCTGGAAAGCCACTGTAGCTGCTTTCTTACATGTGTGCAAAAACACAGGCACCAAGTCAGCCCCCCAAAAATGCTGAACTTACTGCTACAGGAAATTAATTAGATTTCCTCCCCAAAAAACTATTTGCTTTCTCCACACCTTCGTTTGGTCTCCAAGTAGATAACAAGGTCTACTGAACAAGTGGGTTTTCACATTCACATTAATGAATTTCTTTGTGTACAGTACATACCTATTTGCGCTGATGGAGCTGCCCCATGAATGCGACAAACGTGCTTGAAAATAAGTGAACCCTGTACCCAGGGATGGATTAAGACATTTAGAGGTTCTTAAATACTGAAAAGATTCTGGTGCTCCCCCATATGTAATTCAAAATAAAAACAATACTAAATGGTAACGTTTTCTTTTTCAAAATGGCACAAAACTTGCATGTGTGCTGAAATGTATGTGCTCGTAGTGGAACCCTGAAAGGGCTTTTATATAGTGGTAAAGGTAAAGGGACCCCTGACCATTAGGTCCAGTCGTGGCCGACTCTGGGATTGCGGCGCTCATCTCGCTTTATTGGCCGAGGGAGCTGCCGTTTGTCCACTAAGCCGCTTCTGGCGAACCAGAGCAGCGCAAGGAAACGCCGTTTACCTTCCTGCCAGAGTAGTACCTATTTATCTACTTGCACTTTTTGACGTGCTTTCGAACTGCTAGGTTGGCAGGAGCAGGGACCGAGCAACGGGAGCTCACCCCTTCACGGGGATTCGAACTGCCGACCTTCTGATCGGCAAGTCCTAGGCTCTGTGGTTTAACCCACAGCACCACCCGCCTCCCTATATAGTGGTACCTCGGGTTAAAAACTTAATTTGTTCTGGAGGTCCATTCTTAACCTGAAACTGTTCTTACCCTGAGGTACCACTTTAGCTAATGGGGCCTCCCGCTGCTGACACACAACCCGAGGTACCACTGTGTGTGTGTGTGTATTATTAGTTTTCCAGTAAGAACATCCAATTAACAAATCCATCAAATCATGATCAAATAAAAAATAAAAAACAAAATAAAAAACCAGCCAAATTACAATCCAAATTATTAATTATTGTTTTTTCGGGCTTCCCATACTCTGGACCTCTGAAGTCCAGTATTTTCATTTCTGCCTTCTTCTCCTGAAAGGGCTTTTGAGGCAGCTGCAGCAAGTGAGTACCTCTATTTCAGCAGACAAGTGTCCAAATATAGTGAAGGAGAAGCAGGAGTCAGTGCCCTGGGTTCTGCTGGCTTTCAGACATCTAGCTGGGACATATCGCTCAGATGGTTGGACCATGGTACTGATAGTACTGATAGTACCAAAGTTGCAGGTTCAATACCCATCAGGGACTGCTGCAAATTCCTACAATGAAGGAGTTGCATCTTCAGAGTCCCATCCAATTCTATGATTCTACAAATGATATTCAGCATACTAAGTGTGATCTGAATGAGTGGTTCAGAAAGGGACTTAATGGCTAAATGAACCCTTTTTGCATTGAAGCCTGGAGTGCCATATAAACAAAAGCTTCAAAGCAGAGTCCAACATTGAAGTGTCATTCCTCGCTTCCTATACTTCGTAATGAGACAGGGTCAAAGTGAGAGGATTTTCTTTTATAAAGATAGAGGGTATTATTCACTTTTCAGCTGGTTTGATTAGACCTAAATATGAGCAACGTGCTCCTCTCCTGAGGACTACATATTACAATTAATTTTGGATCATATTGATTGGATTGCAAAAGGCCGTTCCCTCCACTGCAGTGACCAACTTAACTCTTTAGGCTATCTTTTCCCCATCAGCTCTCAAACAGCTCCCTTGCAAAGTGAACCAAACTGAAGCAATTTTTGAAATTATTGTGCTAATTGGGAAACTGCCACTCAATTCTCCCACGAAGATTCCCAAAGTCCAAGCCTAAGCAATTTGTAAAACTCTAGATGCCATCTAATGAGGACCTAAGATTGAATAAACAAGCATTTGAGCTCATCCCAAATCAAAGCATATGGACATAGCAGTCAGCAGAACTGCATTGTAGAGCTATGCAAGTAAAATTGTCTACATATTTTTATTTTATGTAGTCATAAAGCCAGATGGTAAAAAGGGTTTAAACCTTTGTCCCAAGCCCTCACAGTGTATGTGCATTGATGGGGGTCAGGGAATTCTCAATGCCACCCTACATCCTATTTTCAATACAGCCAGAGATCAACTTGTCAGATTGAGTCTTGTTATTTTCTAGGTATGAAAAAGTTCATTTCATTCTGATCCAGGATCTCTGTTTCTTGGAATGGACCTCTGGCTACATCTAAGCACAGTTTCGAATGAATACTGTTTTTGTGAAAAAAGTTGCCCTCTGCCCTGATCTTGTATATGACTTGAAGGACATGACCTATCAGACATGTGAGAAATCTAGTGAAATTGTCATACATATGAATCATGTTTCATTTATTATTATTATTATTATTACTACTACTATTATTACTATTATTACTATTATTACTATTATTATTATGCCACACTGCCTGAATTCAAATCCACCCAACGGACAAGGGACCCATAATCTCCACTGCCATTTAAAAACAACTGCAACAAACCCATTTCAATTCCTAGTTTGATTATTTATCTAATTGATTTATACACCGCCCTTCATCTGAAGAGCCCAGGGCGGTTTACAGTACAAAAACCCATAACATAACAACAAACAGAGCAATACTTATTGCCAGTGCTTTTCCCTGGGAGGGGGTGCAGGGGTACACATACCCCTAAACATTTTGTGAATCTTTGCACTTTTGTCCATTTACTGTATTTATTTTTCCCCACTTGAACTATAAAGTGGTGATTTTCCTGAGTCAAAATGAGAGCACACCCCTAAACATTTTTTAAAGAAAAAAAGCACTGCTTATAGCCCATGCAATAAAAAATCAGACCCCCCCTGCGGTCAGGCAGAAGGAGGCAATCACTTCAATCAGCAGATTCTGGGTATCCCGAAAAAGCAGGACATGGTTGCTTTATATTTAAACTTCTGCACCGTGTGCAGCAAAACGTCTCGGGCAGTTTACTATGCTGTAGTATTGTATATTGTGTGTTTCGCGTGATGTCAGTCTGCCCTGTAAAATTTTTAAAAGACAGACTTAAAATGCAGACCATCCCTTTTTTTGCATGCTTAGAAGGTAGAATGTTCAATGTAACAAACTTAAAAGTTGCATGTTTAAAAAATGTTTAGGTTTGGGGGTTTTTTAAATTTTGTGTTCTTTGTGAATTTGCTTATTGTACTGTTTTTAATGGTGGTTAGTAGGATAAATGCACTGGTGAGGCAAACATAGTGCCAACAGGAGGTAACTTTCCAGTTGTATGTGTCATGCAGCATTTGAAGGGACCGTGTGCTTTGCTCAAAATGAAATAAAAAACCGGTAAAATTCAAAAAAATAATAATATCCAGTATGCACGAGCATTACACGCGTACGCCCACCCAGCTTGCCGAAAACCGGGGACATATGAGCAACGAGAGTGGGGGCGTTTTCTCTCCGTCGTCTTAGTTTAACGCTGCTTGTCTCTGTTGATTCCTTTTGCCGCTGCTTGTCAAGGCCGCTTCTCCTCGCAGGTGGGAACCATTTCGCCCCGCCCCTCCGTTCCCGCCCGGCCCCCTTTTCCAGGCGGCCCGGAGGCTTGACAAAGCGGCGCTTGCTGCGCGTTGCTATGGTGACGTCGCGGCCTGCCTGCGGACGCTCCGTCGGCGCTGGCAGTGGAGCGTCCTTTGCGTTGCCCCAGTCAGTTGAATGAGCCCAGGTAGCTCGGCCGCGCCATGAACAGGTAGCCTAGCACCAGCACTGCTTTTTTTGTTTTGCGTCGAGGGGGTTTCGAGGATATGGCGCAGCGCGGCTCTAGAGTCTAACCCTCTCCTTCTTCTTCCCTCCGCCCCCTATCTAGGTTTAATATTGTCTTGGGCCAGGGGATACCCAGGCCGACAGCCCCCAAGGTAGGAGACCCCACCCCACCCCACGTATTTAAAGGTGCCCTTCCTTTTTAACCTGTAGCTCTTAATAAAAGCTGCAATAATAGTAGTAATAATAATAATAATAATTGACAACGACGACAATGCAGTTCAGTGGGAAAGCTGGCTACTGTACCACCACCACCAAGGAAAATGCTGTGTTTTTAGTTATTGTAGCAGCAACAACAACAACAAATTCTTGACAACAACGACAATGCAATTCAGTGATAAAGCTGGCTGCTGCTGCACCACCACCGCCACATATTATTATGTTGTTAATAATAATAACAATAATAATTTATTATTTATACCCCGCCCATCTGGCTGGGTTTCCCCAGCCACTCTGGGTGGCTTCCAACAAATACTAAAATACAGTAACCTATTAAACATTAAAAGCTTCCCTAAACAGGGCTGGGGAAACCCGCCCTGTTTTTAATTATTGTAGCAATAACAACAACAACAACAAATTCTTGACAACAACGACAATGCAATTCAGCGAGGGAAATGGCTGCTGCTGCACCGCCACCGCCAAGGAAAATGCCGTGTTTTTTAATTATTGTAGCAACAAGCAGAATAAATTCAGCAAGTGCCGCCCTCCTCTCTGTTGGCAGCACCGCCATGCTGAGGAGTTCTTCCCGCCGTCTGTTCACGTTCTCCCTGTTAGAACCACAGCAGCCCTGCAAGCGATGAACAAAAGAAACATTGAGATGTCTAGTGCAGCCTTTTTCAACGTTGGGCCCCCTGATATTGTTGGACTACAAATCCCATCATCCGTAGCCAGACAGGACAGCAGGCAGGGGTGATGGGAGCGGCGGTCCAACAACGCCTGGGGACCCAAGGTTGAGAAAGGCTGGTCTAGTGGATCTGGTGTGTAACTTCCCTGTCCAGTGTGTAATGTTTTATTGTGTTTTTACTATTTTTTTGTTGGGAGCCACCCAGAGTGGCTGCAGCAACCCAGTCAAATGGGTGGCATATACATACATTGCCGTTGTTGTTGTTGTTATTCCAGAATAGGCACCCCTGGGTGGTGGCAGTTGCAGCTCTAGCTCCAGTGAAGGCTTGGTACCACTAACACATTCACTTAGTTTTCTTAGTTTTCTACACAATTGCTAATAAAATCAATTTATTTGACAGTTGAGGGTGGTAATGGGAAATAATCTCTTCACAATCTCATTCATTTTAATATTTGTGATTGAAAAACAGACTTAATTAGTTGTGTATGCTGAGGGGGGCTGCGTGGAAATTCTGTTAGTGGTTATGGATTTGGAATCCAGGACTTAGGGATAATGGTCAAACCTTCTGCAGTCAAAAGGAAGTGATATGTTTGTGGTGATATTAAGCATATACACATTTATTGATTTACTAGACTTGCATACTATTCCATAGCAGAATACCCTTAGTGGTGCCTGTTTCACATTCTCCCCCACCCTATTCAAATGTTGGCTGTGGGGCCGCATGAGTCATTAATCAAAGGTTGGTTATGATCTACAAAGCAGTTAAGTTGGCTTGTTCCCATTTGAAATCAAGCCAGGCTTGCTGAATTCAGTTTGCCAACTTAAATGGATTTCAGATTATGTATATGATGATTAGCAGAGGCTCTAGTGTCCTGTAGAAATAACAGCTGTTGCACACGTGATGGGCACCGTATTATGTATTACAGAAATTTAAATCTGAACACACTGTACTGAGAGAGGAAGACTTACAGCCAAGAGTTCTGATCTTATGGCTTACCTGTTGATGTGACAATAGAGTTGGGAAGGTCATGTGGCAACTATTAATGAGGTTACTTCTACTTTGAATGCAAAGTGGAGTCTGATTTCCTGAAGAACATCCTGACCCATGCAGAGCAATGTGACTCTAAGTGGATCCTAGAATTATCTTTCCCTGAATATATGCTAATTCCCCAGAGAGGTAGCATTCACAAAAGCTGTTTCGGCTGTTACTACAAAAATTATGCCTCTGCAGTTACATGCTATACCTTAATTGAGGTGCTTAGATGAGCGCTGCATAATATACATTCGCAAAGCAGATATATCAGTGGAGCCATACATCAAAAGTAAATGTTTTTGTCTTCCATTGTTTTAGATGTAAACATTTTACCTTATCACACATAAGTTTTACCCTTTAAAAGTTGTGAGGAATTATTTCCCTATGTTTTAAATAGAATATTAAGCATTATTGCTGTTTGAGATTTCTAATATATCTGTTATATAACAGATACACACACCAAAAAAATATGTTGGGATATAGGTGATCAATCATATTTTCTTTACTTAAGCCAGGGGTCAGCAACCTTTTTCAGCCATTGGCCAGTCCACCATCCCATAGACCATGTGGTGGGCCGGACTATATTTTTTTTGGGGGGGATGAACAAATTTCTATGCCCCACAAATAACCCAGAGGTACATTTTAAATAAAAGCACACATTCTACTCATGTAAAAATACCAGGCAGGCCCCACAAATAACCCAGAGATGCATTTTAAATAAAAGCACACATTCTACTCACGTAAAAACACGCTGATTCCCAGACTGTCAGCGGGCCAGATTGAGAAGGCGATTGGGCCGTATCCGGCACACGGGCCTTAGGTTGCCTACCCCTGGCTTAAGCAAACACTTTCACACTAGAAATGGCACAAATTACATTATTGAAGAAGTGCAACATCCATTACAGCCTAGTTGCTGCTATGTTCACCCACATTTTATGCTAGCTATGTTAATTATATGGAAATTAAATATGGAAATTAACAACTGTCTGTCACTTGTGTTTCCATGGCAGCCTACAATGCTGAACAAGTAGGCCATTTCTGGTTATGATTCTTTCTGTCTCTTAAAAATGATAAAGCTGTTGAAATTTAGGAATTTGAAGGTAAGGACAAGAAACTTGTGCACAATCCTAGAGCATGCAAGGCAGCCAGTGTTGGAATTTCAGGAAAGACTTTCCATGGTCTGATGAACAAAATGATTTTGAAAGCAGAGTGATTGGTAGAAGCAGAGGGCCAAAGTGAGATAATGAAAGTCCAAAGAGGAGAAAACTGTAGTAGTCAAGGCAAAAAAAAAATTTGCCAGCTTGATGTGACTCAGTGTTCTGTCAAAGAGGCAGATAGAAAGGGCTATGTTTTTGTAATGCTGTAAAGAGAGAATTGACCTGGTATTGTGATGGCCTAAATTGTGTGTCAAGGAAGGAAGGAAGTCAAAGATAAAACCAAGGATTTTAACTGAAATCATTTGACATTAGGATGACATGTATTCCATATTCTTATGTCTTTTTCTGTTCAACCAGTAATTATCTGTATAGAGTAAGTGTACTGTCAGCACTTCAGCATCAGTTACATTTTTTCACAATTCCCTTGATTGTAACCTTATCTTAAAAATTGGTATATATTCTATACTGAAATTATTTGGTTCCAACTGTCTGTTGAAACTCTTTTAGTATGCTGAGTAAGGCAGTGTTAAGGGAGTGAATCTAGCAGACTTCACCAGTTGCAATTACACACAGAGTGATGCTTGTAGGTAAGAAACATAAAAAGGACTTTATGGTATGAAATACGTACCGTACTTGGATAGAAGAGTTCCTAATTCTAGTCTAACTAGTCTGTAGTAGAGAAAGGCAGCTGTGGTGGCTTCTTTGTTCCCTTGGAGGATGGTTCCAGCATGATGTCTCATTTTGAGGTCTAAGAGAGAAGTGAAAGTAACAGGAAGTTGCAAAACAGAGCACAACCAGAGAATATCAGTCTAAATGTAACGTCAGAAGAGATGGAGGGAGCTCAGGAAATCTGGAGGTCCCTAACCCTTTCTGTCTTAAACCATGCCAAACCCCTCTTCTGCATGCTGAGTTGCACCCAAATTTCCAACACTCCCCAATTCACATTTAGAAACAAAAAATATAATATTGTTTCAGATGCAAGGTGTTGTTAACAACCATGTGGCTGGGGGTGGGGAGGAGATTAGGAGTCGGGTCTTTTTGATACCTGAAGAACTCACAATTTGCAGAGAAAGGCATTCATCACTAGTGGCCAAAATTGTGGAAACCTTTTGGGGAAAGTGTATTTCCGAGGTTTGATGGCTCATAACAACCCCCCCCCTTTTTTAGTAATACCATAAAATGATATATCAATAGAAAGATAATTTAATGAAGAATGTAATGCAACAACGTTTGTTCAGTTATCTGTATTCTATCAAAAGTTACAGCCAAATAACCAGAAAAACGAAGCACAGCTTGCTTAGGTTGATATGCTGTAGCTTTCCTTCATTTGAATGTAGCCAAAGAGCATGAGTGTTTAGAGAGCCAATCAGGTGTTCTGAGCCAACAAAGCTCAGGAATACACTTTTTTCCCAAAAGGTTTCCACAATTTTGGCCACTAGTGTACTTTGGTGTGTCTTTTTATATATTTCTCCCTTTTGTGAATGCTCCCTACTTAGTTTCAGTAAAAAGTCAACTAAGAAACAGTGTTTGGAAACTTTCTGGGGCCTCTTTTGCCGGCCATACTGCATTGTATATAATATAGTCATCTTATTTGCTCCTAGTAAGCTTCTTAAAAATGCCATTTGGAATCTTTCCTCTACATCTTTTTAGGTTTCTGGAATGATGGAAGTGATTGCTCCTGAAGGTATTTGCATTAAACAATGCATTTGAAAGTACTTTCTTATAGCTCCTTATATTCTAAAAAACTAACAAACAAACTCTACCCTCTTCCTTTTAAGCCTTTTTCCTTAAAAAAAAAGTCATAAGAATTCTTAATATGTCCCCCCCCTCCTTCTTAATGGTTTTATTGATATTTCAGAGCTAAGAGTGCAACCTTATACTTGTCCACTTGGAAGTAAGTCCCATTAAGGCTGTGTACACATTACCAGCTTAAAAAGCAGCTGTGTCATTACTTTTCTCAATTCAGATCAAAGCTAGGTTGGAGGGGGGATGCATCAAAATGCAGTATTTCATAAAAAATGACAAGATAGATATGTGGATAACACCATGTGCACACCACTTTCCAAACCAGTGATGGGAGTGCTGTGCACGCAGAGCAAATGGGGCTGAGTACACAGCTTTGAGTTAAATGGTGCTTACTTACAGAAGTGTGTATAGAACTATAGCAGGCTGCAACTGGATAGCCACTGCCTTGGAAACAAACCTTGTTTAACTCAATGGGCCTTACTTTTGAGTACACATGTAGAGGATTGCATTCTAATAGAAGTTATTGGCGTGAATGTGCCCATTTTCACCTGTGAATTGTGAAATTGCTATTCCTGTTCTGTGGAGAGTTGTGCTACTCAATGAAAACATGTGCACAGCAAATGTTTCATCGTCCTTCTCTTAAATAAGAGCCACACATCCTGTGTTGTGTTTTAAATCACAGAAATTCCCCTGCATCCAAGTCACTTCCATATATTGAAATGTAATGTAGCCAGGGTTTATATACATAGTTTCCCAAATTAGTTTTTAGCCACGGGGTACTGTTAGCCTCATGACACAAATTGTAACAAATAAAAGATTTATACTTCTATGGTAGGCACGGATATATTAGTCAAGCTGTACCAAGGATGGCAAAGTTTAGAAGAGAAGTGGAGGTAAAAAAATGTGGCTTAATTGTGCATATCCCCCAACCCTAATCAGGAGGCAAACATTTGGAAGAACATAAAACACAGAAGCAGGGCTGTCAGGAACCATACTGTGCCTTTGGAGCTTCACAGTTAATTCCAGTTCCTACCCTTGGATATTGATTCTGGGTCAGAGGAACAGGGACATCAGCCATAGGCCTCGGAGAGCACAGAGGTGACTGCAGAAGGTGCAGTGGATAGAAGGATTTCTGCCACTTCCCAAAGGAAGAAGAGAGGTGTGGTGGTGGTCGGTGACTTTCTACTGAGGGGGACAGAGATAGTGATGTGTGGACCTGATAGAATGTCCCAGGAGGTATGCTTTCTTCATGGTCAGGGACGTCAAGCCAAAGTTGTTGGGCTTTTTAGGGGGGCACATGCCATAAATTGCTAAACAAGTAGTAATTACGACAGCGGTAACTCCTTCTTCCATTCTTGTAATCGTGCGCAAATGAAGGACAGAGCAAGAGGGGAATGCTCTTTTTCCCTGCGGAGGAATATGAGCGCACAATCGACTGCTATCAACCAGGGATCAACCTGTTGATTGCGGTCGACCGGTTGGACATCCCTATTCTAGGTGCAAAGATTCAACATGTGACAGAGAGGCTGCCAACTCTCATCGAGCCCACTGACCATTACCCTTTTCTTTTTATCCATGTGGATACAAAATGATACTGACAGACACAGTCTTCAATGTGTTGCAAGGGACTATGAGACTCTGGGTGGGAAGCTGAAAGGATCCTGTGGCACAAGTGGTTATTTTATCATGCCTTCCTGTTGAAGGTCATGGTCCAGGAAGAGAAAGAAAAATACTGGAAGTAAATAACTGACTGCACAGATGGTGTCATTGGGAAAGATTTGGCTTCCTGGACCATGGTCTCCACTTCCATGAAGAAGGACTTCTGGCAAGAGATGGGTTGCACCTGACAGCAGTTGGCAAAAATGTGTTAGGAATCTCACAAACTTTATCAGGAGAGCTTTAAACTGAATCCTGAGGGGGAAGGAGACAATATTTCAGAGCACAGGGGGGACACCAAATACTGGGGATAATAACTTTATTGGTGTACAGGAACCTGCTTATGGGCAGGGGGGGGGAAACCAAGAAGGAAGCAGCTTGAGGGAATGACTTGTTCCCATTTTCTCTATACTAGTACATAGGGCATGGGGAATAAACAAGATGAACTTGAGCTCTGGCATTACTGAAACCTGGTGGGATGAGATACAGGACTGCAATGTAGTAATTGAGGGATATAACTAATTCAAAAGGAATAGACCAAACAGGAAGGGAAGAGGAGTAGCGTTGAATGTAAAGGATGTGTGTACCTGTGAGGAGATCCATGACCTGGAACAGGAGAGTATGGGGAGAGCATTTTGATAAAAACTTGTAGGGGAGAGAAACAATATGTCTCCTAAGAATTTTTTTAAAATGAAATGCATCTCAAAAGTTTATCAATTTAATGTTATACTCTGTCATGCTGAATTTATACATTGAAAACATGCAGATTTGGTTTAAGGAGATCATGCAAAATACACTCAAACTTTTTGTTTTAGATGGATTTGTCCTAGAAACACGTTTGCCTTTGCCAAGGTAAGGAAAGGAAGATGGGTTCTTGCCATTGTTAAGTTTATCCTTTTGAGAATTTGTGATCAGACCCCAACCTTCCCAGTTTCAGCAAGGTGGTGGCCTTACATGCCTTCAAGGCATATCCTAGGACAGGCTTCCTCAAACTCGGCCCTCCAGATGTTTTTGGCCTACAACTCCCATGATCCCTAGCTAGCAGGACCAGTGGTCAGGGATGATGGGAATTGTAGTCTCAAAGCATCTGGAGGGCCTAGTTTGAGGAAGCCTGTCCTAGGATATTTTGATCTCTTCTTTCCCTGCATTCTTTTATAAGACACTAGCAGCTCTCTCCTCCTGCCCATCTCTACAAGTTGAAAATAAGGCCATGTACACATTGCCAGCTTAAATGAAGTCAGGGGTTTTGTGTTTGTGTGTGCTCTATATTTCAGTTCAGTTCAAATTTACACATCATTGTGAGCATCACTACTCTTTGATTTGTTTCCACATCACTCCCTGCCCATCCACACCAGTGGGCAGAGATGGGGGAGCGATGTCTTCACCTGATTGACTTCTCCACCTCTCCACCCACCCTCAACTCCTAATCATGAAGCTTTCCTCCCTTCAACCCTGTCCCCCTACAAATCATCCTCATGCAGCCTACTTCCAAATTAAGTGTAGAAGCTTAAGAAATCAGCCTGATGGTGGAGCCTTGTACACAACTACTCAGAAGTACTCCTCATTTAGTTCAATGAGGCTTACTCTCAAGCAGGGCTAGGAGTACATCTTAAGGTGGCAAACCTAACACCTCCTACCTGAGAGTAAGCCCAACTGAATTCACTAAGTCTGAGCAGGCATGGTTAGGATCATGCTATTAATCTAAAGTGCCAGAAAACTCATTGCGGTCTTTACTACAGGGTAGTGCGAAAATACTGTTGAAGTGGGTATCTATTTTTAATGAGTAGGATAAAATAAAACTCTTAAATTAAAATAAAATAGGGAACAGTTCAGGTAAAGAGGATTTGTCAGAGGAAAGAGACTTCTCTAACTCCCCCTACCCATATTGACATCAGACATGTAGAACCAGCCCCAACTCACAGCCTCAAATGTGCTCACCTGGGTTTCACTACACTTTCAGTATTGCTACCATTCTCAAATTGGAATGAAGCTAGTTTGCAATGAATCGCATGAAAGCACAGTATTTTTACAAGAAACTACAGGATAGCTCTAGATTGTTGCTAATTCCATGTGTGCGTGGATTCAAAACCTAGTGGGGCAGTGCAGTGGAGATGGTCGTGTGCACAGCCTAAATCCAACTGATCGAATGGAACTTATGTATATGGAAGTATTCTTATGACTACAGCTGAAAGACCGGAGTGCATGTTACATGAAAATACTGTAGCACGCGTAAAAACTATTTTAAAAGAAAAGCTGTGAAGGTCAGTTGCCTGTTCTGAACAGGGTCTCATTCCTTCCTGAAGAACCACATACGTAGCTTATGGGTGAACCAGGATCCATATTTGTCACTAGAGACCCAAAGAGCCTCAGTAGCTCAGAGCAGCTTTAGCTGGTGTGCCAATCATAACCGTCCTTGGACAGAGATAGCTTGTCCACAGAGGTCCATACAATGATAACCTCAGGGTTGGATTGTTGCATCATGCTCTGTGTAGACCCATAAAGCTGGTCCACATACTACAGGCTGGTGCAGAATGCTGTGACGAAGTTGCTATTCAGAGCAACCTACCTGCAGCATGTAACATGGTTGTTTAGGGATTTGCACTGGCTGTCAGTTAGCTACTGGCCAAGTTTAAGGTTTTACTATTGGTGTATAAAGCCCTTAACAGCCTTGGGCATGTTTACCCAAGAGACTGCCTTTTCCCATTATCATCCTGCCTGAATACTTAGGACATCAAGTAAGGCCATTTTATGGGTGATACATGCCCTAGGAGTTCATTTAGGCAGAGGTGGAAATAGTGAGAACCACAGGAGGAAGAGATCACATCCTCTTGGGATTCACTATATATATAGGAAAAGGAAAGCTGAGTGTAGTGGATACATATCTTGTACTTTTAAGAAATATGATTTCAAAAAGCTTAATGAACTGCTGGTTGTGATCTCATGGTCAGAAATACTCAAAAAAAAAAAAGCAGAAAACAAATAAGGTAGCATGGTGTTCTGTAGTGTAACAAAGCTTACTGGACTAGCCTTGGACTAGTCTACAATGCTTTGGTTGTGATGAATTCTTATACTCTATTATGTCAAATATGAGAAGTAGGCTAGGATTCAGGCTGATTTTTAAGCATCATATCATCTTGAATAATCTCCTTATATATGCAACTCGTTTTATTGTCTTATATAGGCATAGTGGCTTAGGAAGGACTGATGTAATGAAGGTAAAAGTTTTTATTTCAAATTTGATATATGTTTATCTTTAAATGGAATTGATATATTGGTATTTAATGGTTTCTTGGTGTTGTGGTTTTAATCAGTTGATTGTACTGATCAAGAGTCATATCTGTGTTTCAGTGTTTTATTGCAACTTACGGGAATTCTCACTAGTCAGAGAAATCACGGTGAAGAATTTTAGGCAAAATTACATGGCAGGTCTTGTGGTTGTTTCTTACTTTTGTCTTTATTGCAGGAACAGAAGAACAGACAAAATGGAAGGTTGCATGTGTTCGGTCCAAAAGGTAAATCTGCTGAGCTTTTCAAAACTGCACTGATTTTTAATCACTGCTTTCAAACCGCACTGCTTTGGGGAGGGGCATTCTTAGAATTCTGGATGCAGGTACAAAAGTGCTAGTAATTTAGAAAATCATAATTAAAACCAGGGACAAAACTAGGCTTTATTTGTATGTCAAAACAAATTGCCAGTTAAAGAATAGAAAGCATTCTTCTGTAAGCATTAGTAAATTATTTGGTTGATTTATCTAATTTCATTAATCCAGCAGAATCCCCAATGCTGCTTACATAAAATAATGCCTTGGAGAACTTTGTGGCTGTTTCTACTCTTTCTGGTACATGGCTTTGCTCTAGAATAGGATCCTTACTTTCTTCTCTCTGCCCTCCTGCTCCAGTTTGCAGCACTTTTTAAGGTCTGTGAGCATCAGAGACACAGAAGCCAGCACAGAAACTGGGTCACATATGAGCAATGGTGGTTGGAGCATCAGTTGCTTCCTGACCTGTGCGCCACTTCTGTGTACACAGCTAGATACTATGTTAGTCGTGTGAACACCGTTATCACATACATTTTGTAAGTAAATAACCATATGGGGCTGCAATAGAATCAGGCAGGTGGGGAGAAAGAGCTATGTTCCTCCCCCCACCAAAAAAAACACCCCTTTCCCCTAAAATGCCTCCCTCCTTACGTAGTCACCCATGTTGCTTAGCATCCCAATTCTGTTCAGGGGGCCTGATGCTGCTTTTTTTTTACATTTTTTTAATGCCTTCACACTAATTATAATCACTCAATTAAGATCACATCTAATTTGGCCCTTATTCCTTTCCCCCAAATAAATATTAAGTCTAACATATTCATTCCAACTGTTGTATGTTGGTCAGCCCCAGCAGTAACTGGAAGCCTTAGCCAATAGTCTTTTAATCAGAATTGGGCTAATGAGCAAAAATTGAGGGTTTTCCATGTGATTTTTTTTTTTGAGGAAAATTTGCCTTACAGTGGGGGGAACAGGCTAGAACAAAAACCACTTACTCAAAGAGATGTTGTAAATTGTTACCGTAATTGATGTTAAGAAAAAATTGATAAACTATATTACATTTATTGCTTAGTTAAAATTTAAAATTATTGTTCTATATATTTTGGGGGGGGAGGGGATAATCTGAATCAGTTGAACCAAATATTTCAATTTATTTTGTTTTTAGAAGAAGTAGTCCTTGAACCCGTTCAAACAATTCCACGGTAAGATCTTTATTGTGCAGCTTGTATATGATCTGCCTTCTTAACCAGTCAGAGAAAGATAGTGCAATTATTTGTCATAGATTACACAATCCTTTGCATGTTTACTCACTTATGTCAGTGGGGCTTACTCCAAAGTAAGTATACATGGGATTGCAACCTCTCTTATATTTAAAGAACTAGAAACACATATATTTCTACTTTAACCTTTTGATTGCCAACATGGATGTATATATCAATAGATAAGTACTATCATTACTCTCAGTGTGGTGTACTCTTACAGCCAGTGTGGTGTAGTGGTTAAGAGCGGTAGTCTCGTAATCTGGTGAACCGGATTTGCTTTCCCGCTCCTCCACATGCAGCTGCTGGGTGACCTTGGGCCAGTCACACTTCTTTGAAGTCTCTCAGCCCCACTCACCTCACAGAGTGTTTGTTGTGGGGGAGGAAGGGAAAGGAGAATGTTAGCCGCTTTGAGACTCCTTAAAGGGAGTGAAAGGCGGGATATCAAATCCAAACTCCTCTTCTTCTTCTTCACTTAAGTTAGGCTTTCTTTCCAAATAAGTATACTTCTGATTGCGACCCAAATATCAAATATTAAGAGGGTATTCCAGATGATGCAGCCCAATACTGATTATTGTTGGCTAGCTGAATCAAATTCTTTCAGTTTGAGTTTCACTGTTAAATAAGCTGAGGTTCTGTAATAACATATCCTTGCTCTATAGTGCTGCATGTTTTAAAATAAGTTTTTAGAAGAAGTTGTATTGATTGCTCCCCAGCTTGAATCATTTATTTTATGCACATACTCTTATTTGACTTGTTCCTAATTCAAAATCAGCCCTTGATCTTGGCTTCTCAAAATGTACTTGAATACAAGAAAAGAATAAATAAATAAAAGGCTGCAGCAGTTGGTTAGAATCTGCATTTTAGTGGAATTATTATTCTGCAGTTGATGTCAAAACTTTTTTGTGATGGTTCTTTTCCTTCCTTCCTTTATTATTTTTTTGAACCAAGGCAGCATGGGATGTGGAAATGAATCTATAAGCAGACCTTACACTCCATCAAAGCAGATCTTGTTACGTGCAGCTAAATCCGTAGAAAAGTAAGTCTCACTTCATTTGCGTTCTTAATTAATTTCATTATGAGAAGAAATTGCTGACAAGCTTTTTCAAACAAGCAACCACTGTCCTATTGTAGATCCCAACAAGTTCTTGAGGCATGTGTGGAAGAAAGTGTGGCTTGGTCTGTGTTATTTTGCTCATCATGGGGTGCCGCCTAAACACACACACACATGGTGAATTATTCCTGCTCCAGCTGTGACATTTAGAAGCACAGAGCTCAGTTGCCATGCTGAGGGCCTTTGCACCTTGATCGTCTGTAGCTATTGGTGACGTACATTGATGGTGTGTTCTGCATGGGATGGGCTTCCAAATGTTATAGGCAGGAATCTCTTTATCACAATATTTTTGGAGGTCTCTCCATGGCAAATGTAACACGTGCAGCAGCCTGCAGTCAGCCACTGGGAAATACGAAATTCGTTCTTGTCACTCAAGATTAATTGGCAGCAGATGAGCAAAAGATAAAGTTGAAAGAGAATATTGGGAAGGCAGGCTAAGTTGAAAAGTCGTAACAAAGAGGTTATGCCATTTATCCAGGAGCTCCATATGGCTGGGTGGCGCTGTAAAGGTTTGCTTGCCATCAAACTGTCTCAGTTGTTTTTTCTGAATCGTTTAGGATTGTTTCAGCGTAGAAGAGAATGAGGCGGTCTCTAGCATTTGTGGAACTCCATGTAACTTGAGCTTGTTCTCTGCACAGGGAATCATTTGCATGCTTGCACTGGCATAAGAATCAGGCAGCTCAGTACCAGATTAGATATGATGTTAAATTCATTTTTGTATCTAAAGCACGCACTTTTGAAAATGCAAATTACTGCTGCGGGAGTTGATAGTTATAAGAGACCAGTGCAGGCAAGGAGAAGGAGCTTAACCCTTGCCTCACCACTGTAGTCCCTATTCATTTCAAAAAGCATCCTTCTGGAGCTGCTATTTGCATTAAGAGGAAATGCAAATAGCTTCAAAAGGGTGGTTTTTCAATCTCAAGATTGCAACAGGAGGGAAGTCCCTCCCCTACTTCCTGTGATTCCAGTAATTATCAGCCCGCCTAATAGCTATTATTTGCATTTTAAAAACATGGATATTAAATGCAAATAATGCCTTTAACATCAAGTCTAATTTTGTTTTCAGATAACTATTTTTACTGGATACCACTCCAGCTGTATTGAACCTGGCATATACCTGAAAGCATATTATCTCTGTAGTCTCAAAAATGTATGATTTCTTTTTTTTTTGTCTCCCCTTGGATAACACTCACAATATTTAGGGGGAATACTTTAAAAAGAATTGCAAGAAATAAAAATCCAAAGATGAGTGTAAGATTGCCTGACCGCATAGAAGAAGAGACAGGTGAGATTTATGTTGCATATGTTTATATATGTATATAGAACCTATGCAGGTCTGTGTTACTAGACTGCAAACTAGGAGAGTAGAGTTCAAATTATCCCTCAGCCATGTGCAGACCAGATCCAAGCACTGTTTGAGAATACTGATTTTCTAGATCCATTTCAGTTGGGGGTTAGGCCCAGTTTTGCCATCGAAACTGCTTTGGTCATGATGACTTCTGTCAGAAGAGAGACAAAGGAAATGTGTCCTTGGAAATTCTCCTCGACCTCTCAGTGGCTTTCAATGTCACCAGCCGTGGTATTCTTCAGTAATGCAACAATAATGCATCAGTGGTAGAGTTAGACTGGGCTGTCCATAAATCACTCTGCCTTATTAGTTGTTCTGTGATGCCTCCCTAATGTCATCACATTACTACCATCTGGAAGGGCAGTCTTGCACTGTAATGCAGCTAAAGTGGGACGAGAAACAGCAACCCAGGAAAAATTGTGTTAGGTAAAGTTGCAGGGTTTCAGCGGGAAGTTACAGGAGGTGCACAGATTAGAAACAAAAGCAGCATACCACCAGGTAGCCTCTGCAGGTGCAAACAGTATTAAAAGACAAATAGCGTATAAAGGTAAAGGGACCCTTGACCATTAGGTCCAGTCGTGGCTGACTCCGGGGTTGCGGCGCTCATCTCGCTTTATTGGCCGAGGGAGCTTCCGGGTCATGTGGCCAGCATGACTAAGCCGCTTCTGGCGAACCAGAGCAGCGCGCGGAAACGCCGTTTACCTTCCCATTTGCCTATTTATCTACTTGCACTTTGACGTGCTTTCGAACTGCTAGGTTGGCAGGAGCAGGGACCAAGCAACAGGAGCTCACCCTGTCGCGGGGATTCGAACCGCCAACCTTCTGATCGGCAAGTCCTAGGCTCTGTGGTTTAACCCACAGCGCCACCCGCATCCCTCAAATAGTGTATAATTGCCCTAAAACCACCATAAGCACAAATCATAATGAGTGCACCATAGAAAAGATATCTAGAAGGGCCCCAAGTCAAACCATTGGCTCATCTAGGGCAGTGATTTGTAGCTTCTTCCCATGGTTTGTCAGGAGTCTTTCCCACCTTTCCTGGATTCGCTTAGTATCAAGCCTGGGATTTTCAGCATGCAGAGCATGTGCTTTATCACTGAGCTATGACCCCTTCACACTTGAAAGTACCTTTGCTGAACATGATTCATCTTGATAAAGTGGAATCTACGTGAGCAACAAGCATTCTGTATGCTTTCTGCATCAAGAGGGAATCCTCGCCAACTGTCTTTTCTTTGGCATCATTTATTTTGTAGTTCCATTTATTTTGTGTTCTCTCTACCTGCATTGATAGGCCATATCCCAGTGGCAGTGATGCTCCCAAGAAGCATTTTAAAGCGTGTCGGTGTCCTAATAATCTCTGCAGAGAGTGAGAGAGCACTATTCCTACATTGGCTCCCAGTACGTTTTCGAACACAATTCAAAGTGTTGGTGCTGACCTTTAAAGCCCTAAACGGCCTCGGTCCAGTATATCTGAAGGAGCGTCTCCTCCCCCATCGTTCTGCATGGACACTGAGATCCAGCACCGAGGGCCTTCTGGCGGTTCCCTCACTGCGAGAAGCCAAGTTACAGGGAACCAGGAAGAGGGCCTTCTCGGTAGTGGCGCCCTCCCTGTGGAACACCCTCCCATCAGATGTCAAAGCGATAAACAACTACCTGACATTCAGAAGACATCTGAAGGCAGCCCTGTTCAGGGAAGTTTTTAATATGTGACATTTTAGTGTATTTTTCATCTTTGTTGGAAGCCGCCCAGAGTGGGCGGGGTACAAATAATAAATTATTATTATTATTATTATTATTATTATTATTATTATTATATTCTATATACCCTGGCCTTTACTGAAGCTCTGCACACATCAGAGCAGGAGTAGGATGCGGGTGGCGCTGTGGTCTAAACCACTGAGCCTCTTGGGCTTGCCGATTGGAAGGTCACGGTTCAAATCCCGGTGGTGGGGTGAGCTCCTGTTGCTCTGTCCCAGCTCCTGCCAACCTAATGGTTAGAAAGCGCACCAGTGCAAGTAGATAAATGGCGGGAAGGTAAATGGACCTCAATGAAGGAAGATGAGGACTGTATAGACATTGTAGTTTCTGAGTTGAATTCAATATGAGCTGACATCGTGCACTTTTTTCTTGGCAGGGAAAAATACATTTCTGTTACTATATGCTAGCTTCATTAGACTATCAAACATGTTGTTGAAATATGAAATAGTATGGATTTCTCTACCCTAAAGACATAAATTTGAGGGGGGAAATATTGTTGCTGTTGAATTGCGGTGCATTTTATCTCTTACTTCTGCTTTCTCTTCTCCCAGAAATTCATAATGATCAACAATTAGAAACTGATTTACAGAGGCTGAATCATGAAACTAAGATAACTGAGGTGAAAACAGAATTGGAAGTCAATGGTTGGTTCAAACAAAATATATTTCATTTATTAATCTCTTTCAGCTTCTGTGGCTATAAATTATGTCTAGATTTAGTTAAGCATAATATCAAAAAGGTATTTTCTTGATTGATAGATGCCATTAATTTGTGTGTTTCATCTTAATTCGAACCTCATGGATATAGTGTAAGCTTCAGTGAAAGGTACTACCACTAAGGAATACTTTTAACCTTGTCTTTATTGGTGCTGATCTCCTTACTAAAGTATGCTTTAGCCCAAAATGTAGTCTTGTTATATTGTTGTTTGTTTGTTTTTCATAAAATTTATACACTGCTGGACCATAAAAAAACTTCAAGCGGTTTACGAAAGGTGAAACAGCAAAATCAAGAAAAATCCACAACCGGACTTTAAAACATACAAAAGTTAAAATACTAAAGTAGATAAAATTTACTTCCTAAGCATCTGGGTAGGCTTGTCTACACAAGAATGTTTTTATTAATGACGCGCACTTCACCCCAAAGTCCCATGGTGGGTTACAGCGTTAAAAACCCAATATTAAAAGCAGTTTAAACAACTTACAATCACAAAAATAAGGTGGGTCCTAAAAATATACACCTCAGGTGTCAAAAGTCAGGATAAAGAGATGGATCTCCAGCATTTGCCAGAAGCTGTTCAGTGAAGGTATCAGATGCACCTCTGTGGGGAGGGAGTTCCACAACTCAGGGGCCGCCACAGAGAATGCCCTCTCCCGGGCTGTCACCCTCCCCACAAGCCTCTGGGGGCTGAGGAACTCCCAAGAAGGCACCCTCTGCTGATCTCGGTGCTCAGTATGGTCTGTAGGAAAGATTTCCCCCCCAGATATTATGATATGGGCGGAGAGATTCTGGTCTGCCCATAGCAACATTGCTATTTTTGGAGCTGTTCTTGTAGCATCACAGCTAGATAAATCAATATAGAGGCATTGCTCACCTCAACTTTCATAGTTCTGGTTATTGTTGTTATTAATTACAGACATAAACAAAGGGAAGCTTAATACATGTTACAAAGAGCTTTATCTTAAAAGAAGCAGTGAGCCAGTGTGGTGCAGTGGTTAAGAGTGGTAGACTCGTAATCTGGTGAACTGGGTTCGCTTCTCCGCTCCTCCACATGCAGCTGCTGGGTGACCTTGGGCTAGTCACACTTCTCTGAAGTCTCTCAGCCCCACTCACCTCACAGAGTGTTTGTTGTGGGGGAGGAAGGGAAAGAAGAATGTTAGCCGCTTTGAGACTCCTTCGGGTAGTGATAAAGCGAGATATCAAATCCAACTCTTCTTTTGAGTATGTGAGAAAGGAAGCAGATTGCCTTCTCTAAGATGGTGTCTGCCACTTCTGGAGATACATGAATTGGGCCACCATCTTTCAGTTTCACTGTACCTTTATTTCTTCTATTATTATCATTATCAATAGCTGACAGGTAAACTGTTGCAAGTGGTGTGTTTTTCCTTCCTTTAAGGAAATTCTGACTTTTAAGGTGCAGTTGCTCAACGCATATAGCCCTTTTTGCTGCCTTCGATTACATCTTTGTGAGCTAACTCTCATGTCATAAATTGTATGTGATGTCGTGGCTCGTCAACCCTACTAAATAAAAGTCCAGGCTCATGTGGATTTTTAAATTTGGGAGTGTCATGTGAGGACTGACTAGGCTGGCAGAGGTGTAGCAAAGCAATGGAACCAAAGATACTTGGTATGTGAATTTCATGATCAAGACAGGAGGAAGAGATAGCAGTACAGATTTGGCAGAGCTGTCAAGAAAAGAGGAAAGTTGTTTGTTTGTTTGTTTGTTTGTTTGTTTGTTTGTTTGATTGATTGATTGATTGATTGATTTATATGCCACACTATACCCAGAGGGCTCAAGGCAGTTGTATAGAGATTATGTGGATTATGTCACTACTAGGCATCTAAAAAGGATTAATGGGGTACACATCCTGGATTGAATTTAAATGGTGTTATGTATAAAAGTTCTTTTGTCTGTTCTGAATCTACTGCCATTTAATGTTGATAAGATGACAAAATACGCGTGGGGGGGGGATGGAGGAGGAAAAAAATCTCTTTATATACTCTTTCCACACAATGATATATTTATAAACCTCTATCATATTCTCCTCAGCTGTTGGTTTCTAAGCCAAATAACCCCAAACACACTAGTTTTTCCTCGTTGTGGTTTCAACTCCTTAATTATTGTGGTTGTCCTACTGAAAGCAGGTGTGGAGCAGTAGGTAGATTGCTGCAACTGAGCTGAAGAAGCATGGATTCAAATTCAAGCATGAAGTGTAGGGCTCTTGTGGAGATAAAGTAGCACAACCCTTAGGGTTGGTGCCTCTTTGGAGAAAGGACAAAATAAAAATAAAATAAAATAAATCAGTGGGATCTAAAAATGCATGGATTTGACTAGATCATACCCTGGGGGTTTCATTGTCTGTTCACACTCTCTTTATTCTATTAATCATATCTATGTTGAAATATTATTTAACACAGGATATAGAGAAATAGTAGTCATTTAGAAAGTAGCCTTATGGCTCCTTAAAGACTAACATCTCATAAAGGGGATGCTAAACCATGAATACTTACGCTAGAATGAATTAGTTAGTCACTAAGGTGTCTCAAGACCCTCTGGTTTTTTCCCTGCTGCATGGCTAGCCCCTGAAAATTTTGGAAAAGGTAATCTAATTGGTCACAGTTTTGCTTACAGAAATGTTTATTAATGCCTCTTCATCTATAATACAATTTTTTTGTGTAGATGAAAAGTTGAAAAATTCCGCAGTTGTTGAAAAGCTACCCAATGGTGAGGTCAGTACTGAGAAGCAAAGGGAAGGTGTAGCTAAAGAAAATGCCGACAAGAAGCCACCAGAGAGTTCAGAGGACGAAAATAATGAACAAAGTGACTGTGAAGTTGAAAAGAGAATTGCACCGCTGCAGTTAATGGGAGAGGTACAAATCCCCCCCACCCCCCATTAAGCAAACAGATGTTCTGGCAAAACTAGCCTTTCCTACAGGAGGAGTAAAGTTTTGAATTGTTGACCAAAATATTATTTAAAATCTAGATAATTGTAAAAGAGGTTAGATGCATACAAGGCTGATTCTTAACAGAGCATAATAAGCATGACTACAGTTAATACATCCAAAATGGGGGGTTTTTGGTTAAATAAAAGGAAATAAGTCGAAATAAGTGGAAGTCGAATGCCTTGTGAATCGAACGTTTTGGCTCCCGAATACCGCAAACCCGGAAGCGCGTCTTTGGAACCCAAACGTTTGCCGCAGGTTCCACAGCTTCCGATTGGCTGCAGGAGCTTCCTTGGTTTCCGAATGTTTTGGAAGTCGAACAGACTTCTGGAGTGGATTCCGTTCGACTTCTGAGGTATGACTGTATTTACCACTCTAGATAAGAAGCCTCTAGAAGAAAACAGCCTAGAACATAAGAGACTCTTCCTTCCCAGTGCTACATTGATGCTTGTAGATCAGGAGTCAGCAACCTTTTTCAGCCGTGGGCCGGTCCACCGTCCCTCAGACCATGTGGTGGGCCGGACTATATTTTTTTGGGGGGGGAATGAAGAAATTCCTATGCCCCACAAGTAACCCAGAGATGCATTTTAAATAAAAGCACACATTCTACTCATGTAAAAACACCAGGCAGGCCCCACAAATAACCCAGAGATGCATTTTAAATAAAAGGACACATTCTACTCATGTAAAAACACGCTGATTTCTGGACCATCTGTGGGCCGGATTTAGAAGGCGATTGGGCCACATCCGGCCCCCGGGCCTTAGGTTGCCTACCCCGATATAGATCATCTGCAATATGCACAGTCTTTGTGATTATTTAGTTCACTGCAGATGAGTTTGGTAATGACATACGATGTGTGGAGGAATGGATCTACGTGACAAAGGGTCGTGCATCATGTGTCCTAAGTGTGAAAAAGTTGTCATGCTGAAGCTGTTCAAACTGGACTTTGCAGCACAGGATCAACACCCTTGAGTTGACTTGAGTGCAAGTTGAGTCATATTGGCTCGTATTTGTATTAATTTGCATACTTTTAAATTTTCTTTATAGTTTCTGAAGGCAATAATGGAGCAGAAATACAGCCTTGCAAAAAAGCTTTGTCAGATGAGTAAGTTCTGCAAAGGTTGTTTTTTTCCTGACTTGCATTGTTTCTCCAAATCTGTTTCCTAAGTTGTGACATTCCATTTAGTACAGTGGTGGGGAACCTTCTTCAACTGGAAGCCCATTTTGACAATCACAGTCAAGAACTCCATAGTGCTGTTGATAAGCCCTGGCAGATGCCTCGCTTGGCAAGGAACAACCAGGAGCGCACTTTAAGGCATAATTGTTCACTTGCGGCCTCATGATGTTGGATGAGGAGCAGATGAGTGTGGTATGGAGAGATGGCCTCGCGGGCCAAATTGGGACCCATGCCAGGCCTCATTAAGCCCACCAGCCGACAGTACATTATTCTGTTGATATACTTTGGACTGGTGTTTATGTAGGAGCAAGTTCTGAAATTGCCACACTACTCAGGGACTTGCAGGCTCCTGGATTCTTTCTGGAATGGTTTGCAATAGAGAGATCAAGAACCTGTGGCTATGATACTCTCTCTATAGATATGATTGTCTTTCTGCATCCACAGGAATTCTTTTTTGGGGGGAGGAGTCTCAAACTAAACACTCCACATAAATAAACATGCATAACAAGAATGTTCGGACCGAGCGGGGATGAGGCCTCAGTAAACATGGCCTCGGAGTAAGAAGAGTCTGTCCCAACCTTTTAGTGCTACTTGTTTCAGTATCAGAAGCTTAAATACTGAATAAGCATGATGAATGAAATGTGAAAGGCACAGAGGAGAATTTGTTCCTTCTGTTTTCCTGTTTCAACCACTTCCTGTCTAAATTAACAGAATGGTAACTTGCCAAACCAGATAATAGCATGAGGTACGTTAATCTCATTTATATATAAAAAAAGTTAATAGCAGCATGGGGGCTCTGATGAAGATTATGACCATGCCACATGGGGAAGTGGTTTTTAAACCCCCCTCCTCTTCACCACAGACTTGATGAAAATTGCCACCCGCAAACTATTTGCCCCCACTTTGCATGCCATATTCATGATTCTGGAAAAGAGTGAAATGCTTTTGTATGTTTCATGTTATCATCTGGTTTGCCTTGATGAAACATATTGGCAAGTAATTTCTAGGGTGCTTCCAGATCAGAGTTTGTTGTTGAATCGGAGGTACTTTTATGAGAAATATATTTGTACTTCTGTGAAGTAGGACGAGCTATTATTGCAGATTCCCATTTTCTGTTTCATCCTATAGATATCAATAATGTTTCCTCCTTCCTTATCAAATTCCAGTTCTGATATATGAACCAGAAAACCCTGAGGCCCTGCAGTTTCTTCCACTTATTGAGAAAAAACTAGTATTGGGTAAGTCCTAAAACTGTAAATACTGGATACTATTATACAATTGAGAACTATATTATGTTTTTTAAGCGTTTTTACAGATTAGTGTAGATCCAGCCAAGGAATCTGTCCCTGAGCTCCTTTTGGCCTTACTGAAAGAAGACATTCCAAGAGGTCCCTGTCCATTGCTTCTTCCCTTAAGATATAAACACTTGCTGGATTCAAGGAAAGCAGCACCACTAGCAAGTAACATGGGAAGCATGCAGAAGGGCTGTGGCTGATGCCTGCCCCCAAAAGGAGAATGGAGGAAGGAAGATGGGAGCCCATGATGCAAGCCAGGAAATGCACAGATTACTCCCTGAAAAAGGAGTTGCAAGAGTGACTTACCTTTGTATCTTTTATATTTCCATGTTAGAAAGCGAACGTGCTGCTAAAGAAGATGAAACCGGTGAAGAGAGCAGTGAAGAGGATAGCAATACAGATAAAAGTGACACTGAAAGTGAAGCCAGTTCTGGAGATTCTGATAAAGATGCTTAGAAATTTGAAGATACCACAAACGAGTGTGTTCTTAATCATCTTTTCTTTGAAATGCACATATTAAAATGAGCTGGATTAATCAGAAGAATCCTACCCCCAAAATACTTTCCCCCCCCCATGCTTAACCTTGCTGTCAGTGATCCCCTGTTTCCATCAAGCTGTTATTGTTACTGGCCATAGGCAACTCCTGAAAGTTTTGTCGCTGATGAGCAATTTGTGAGGTGAAAAGCTCCAGGGACTAAGATAAAAAGTGTTCCGTTCTGTTGATTCTAGTAGCCTAAGCTTCAGGGCTAGCTGAACACACCTCTTCTTGTTACAAGACTAGTACAGTGTGTTGGCATACAGGACCGGAGGTTTATTGGTGTTGAAAGTACTGTATTCATGCAAATCTGTTTCACCATCAAATCTAATGTGCACCTCAGTTTTCAAAACCCTGAAACCAAAAAAGTATTTGCTTATGCCAGCAGTGTTTTTCAAGCTTGCAGTTGAATCTAATGCACCATCAAATCTAAGGTGCACCCTAATTTCCGTGACATAATTTGGGCAAAAACGGTGTGCATTACATTCAAATAAATAGGTTACAATGCAAGAGTCCTGAGGGTGCCAGGTGCAACTTTTTGCTGCAATTTCTACGTCTCATAACGACTCAGCTCAGCACCTATCCTCTTACTCTCATTTCTGCCCTCTTCCCTTTCAGCTGTACTCTCTTAAAGCACTGGCATTTGTAAAAGCAGTGCTGACAGAGGGGTGGATATTTGGGTCTGTGGGGGCATTTGTATGCAACAATTTCAAGAAGTAATGAGAACTCCAGGGGACTGCAGTATCCATTATCACATTATTTTTCAGCAGTTTTCCTGGGGCTTGTCTGTATTTGAGGCAATAGAGGGACGTGGGTGGTGCTGTGGGTTAAACCACAGAGCCTAGGACTTGCCAATCAGAAGGTCGGCAGTTCGAATCCCCGTGACAGGGTGAGCTCCCGTTCCTCGGTCCCTGCTCCTGGCAACCTAGCAGTTCGAAAGCAAGTGCAAGTAGATAAATAGGGAAGGTAAACGGCATTTCCGTGTGCTGCTCTGGTTCGCCAGAAGTGGCTTAATCATGCTGGCCACATGACCCAGAAGCTGTACGCTGGCTCCTTCGGCCAATAAAGCGAGATGAGCGCCGCAACCCCAGAGTCGGTCACGACTGGACCTAATGGTCAGGGGTCCCTTTACCTTTACCATTATCAGCAAGGCAGCATATTTCCTTGAGTTACAAATGGAACTGCAAACTTCAGTTGGTTGGTGTTCTCTCTCTCTCTCTCGTGTGTGTTATATAACCCCAATTAATCAAGCAGCAAAATTATATCAATAGAAAGTTGTTATTTTATCTGTGAAGGAGTCACTATCAAGATTTTGATCAGAATAGCACCAAAAGCACATCTCTTTCCAGACATTGTCTGTTACAGGCTTCCTCAAACTTGGCCCTCCAGATGTTTTGAGACTACTATTCCCATCATCCCTGACCACTGGTCCTGCTAGCTAGGGATCATGGGGGTTGTAGGCCAAAAACATCTGGAGGGCCAAGTTTGAGAAAGCCTGGTCTATTAGCATTAAATGAGTCCTCTTCCCATCTCAGTGTAGGGGTGCTCTGCATAAAGTGCTATATAATATAAACTGTTTTTTAAGGCACTGATAAACCACAGTGTATTTTTGGTAGATCCGTTGTTTTTTTCCTCCCTTCCCTAGATAGGTTGGGTACAATAATTCTGAAGCAGGTCTGTTCTTAGCCCATTCTTCGATTCCAATTAGACATTCCAGTTCTCAGCCTGTAAGAGCTTTATATGTTGTTGTATAGCAGTGACAGCTGGAAAACTAGGAGGAAACTCTAGATTATAGGCCTGGTCTTCTGGGACAGTATGATCCCAGTGCACTCATGATTACCAAATTGCCAATGTAGAAACCTCATCAGGCCACAGATCGGACTTGCCTACAGGAGCAGCACCATGCACAGGTAAGGAACCATCTAATTAACTACAAGTATTTCAGCTGCCATCATCTTATAAATGTGTGCTTAATTTTAGAAAAAGAATGTTCAGATTTAAAACATAAGTGTACTTAATGTCAGCTCTGAGATTGGCACTTTTAAACTGGCATGGCGTTCTTTGCATTGCCGTTGTGCCAGAGGTAGTTTTCAAATAAAAATGTCTATTTTTACTTCTTTGGCTGTAAGATCAGCATGGGATCTGGAAGCCTAGCAAAGTATCCTGTAATTCTTTGATGTTTGTGGAGCATTTTTCTTGAAACATCACAAATCCACCAGGAAAGTTCCTATAGTTACATAAAACTAAAATTTCTCAACCGTGCTGCTCTTTTAGAATTCTGGAGGTGTTGCTTATTAATATTGTTCATACTTGTTAAGGAAATAATTGTCATTGTGCTCAATGTATTTTTACACAGGTAACAAATATTTCTAGCAACTACCAGAGGGAATGCTTGTTCCCTCCATACAGATGCTGAATGTCCAGAGAGCTCAGTTGTATGAGGAAATATTAAAGGTAAAGGTACCCCTGCCCATACGGGCCAGTCGTGTCCGACTCTAGGGTTGTGCGCTCATCTCACTTAAGAGGCCTGGGGCCAGCGCTGTCCGGAGACACTTCCGGGTCACGTGGCCAGCGTGACGAAGCTGCTGTGGCGAGCCAGCACCAGCGCAGCACATGGAAATGCCGTTTACCTTCCCGCTATAAAGCGGTACCTATTTATCTACTTGCACTTAGGGGTGCTTTCGAACTGCTAGGTGGGCAAGAGCTGGGACCGAAAGACGGGAGCTCACCCCGCCGCAGGGATTCGAACCGCCGACCATGCAATCGGCAAGCCCTAGGCACTGAGGTTTTACCCACAGTGCCACCCGCGTCGCAAATATTAGGCCCAGACTATTACTTTCTTCTTGAGTAAAAAGTGAATTTAAAATATTTATCTGTTGGGTTGAAATCACGACAGACGAGTGGTAGGTGTCATGTGAGAGGCGTCTCTCCGGGGCAAGCCCCGGGAACTCTCTTTTATTGAATATTACAAACATTGCCACAGGTGTGCTTGTGGCTGATTGGTTGATACAAACACAAAGCAACTTGTTGCTGATTGGTTAACATAGGTACAAGGCGGGAATTACATATGACTATCTATCATTGATAGATCAAAGGATGAGAAATGGAGCTAGAACTAGACAGGCATGAATCCTCCTAATTAAATTATAACTAAAGATTAATATTGAGAGAACATAACATGAAAGAATACAACAATCACGTTCCGTAGATGTGGTCAGCAATGCATTAAGAACAGGTCAGGATACACTGTTTCATGAACTCAATGGGAACTGTTCAGAACATTCTCAGACTCTTGTGCAGAAGCAGAGAAAAGATTATGAGCGAGACTTCCCAGAATGCAAGAATTATGTGCAGTAAGAGAACTGCAGAAAGAAAACTTCCCTTCATTTATCCGTCCTCCTCCTCCTGTAATACAAGTAGGGACTCTGAAACATTTCTCAGGGAAAGTAGGGTGGGTTGGACTCCAGTTTCCTTTCCTCACTGCAATACTTAAGGTAAGCCCCCATACTATTTAAAGGATCCTTGGGGATTAGAATTGGGATTGTATTGAACTTGAAATGTAGACTTGTCCCTGGAGAGCATGTGTACCAACTCTGGTCTTCTGGGACAGTATGATCCCAGTGCACTCATGATTGCCAAATTGCCAATGTAGAAACCTCATCAGGCCACAGATCGGACATGCCTACAGGAGCAGCACCCATGCACAGGTAAGGAACCATCTAATTAACTACAAGTTTTTCAACTGCCACCATCTTATAAATGTGTGCCAAGAGAGATACCATGTTAAACAGAATGGTGAATAAATGCATAGATGAATTAAGCCACTGTGAATTACCAAGAGAGGTGAGGGGCAAGTTGTCAGGGAGCTCAGTGCAGGGTGGGAGCAGAGATTGGCTCCACCACTGTGCACACCCGCTGCTGAGTTCCCTGCGCCTCTCCCATCTTGCAGAAACAGCGAGGACATTTGGCATCAGGAAAGCAAGTGAGGAACACTGCCTTGCTCAACAACTTGAAAATCGTTTTAAAAAGCTCAACATCTTCAATCCTAAAAAAAACACTTCATCAAATCTGGCCCTCTTTAAAAAAAGTTTGGACACCACTGCTACTGGATTAACCTACCTCACAGAATTCTTGTGAGGGCAAGGAGGGATACTGAATGCTCTGTCTTGAGCTTCTTGGAGAGAAGGTGGAATAGAAATCCAACATAATTATATATAAAAAAAGGAAAAGGAGAGAGGAACCTGGAAGTTGCTGCATTTGGTGCAGCTTCAATGATACCTGTTATTCTGTGGTGTTGCAAGGTCTTACCACTGGCTGAGTAAACAGGCAGGCAGCATTGGTGAGAGAGGGCTGGGAAGGTTTTTCCAACAGGTGCATGTAGTGGCTGTTGGAACAGATAGTTGCTACAGTCACCTGGAACCTTTTTACCATATGGAGCCCGTACGTGCAAGATCCATATGTTAACTTATTTCAATATGCCAGCAACTGCTATTCTCAACCCTTGCTTCAGTGTAAATAGGCAGGGTCAGAAGGTTATCGCTACTCCAATCAGTAATTATTGTGTGCTGTGTGCACAAGCTAAGCCTGATGCCTTTTGCAGTGTGTGACAGTTGAGAGGTCATTATGGATGCATTCATGTTGGGGGAAATGTCAAACTCGACATAACATTTATAGGACCACATAGTCCTGATGCATATTTATATTGACATAATGGGGCCTTGGTGTCTGTACAAGGTGTTCAGGGTGATTCACGTGCCTGAATCTGAGAGGTAGGAATCATCACTCTCCAGCAATAAGAAATGTAATGTTTCAAATTGGTTGAAGACCTCACGTATTGCAAATTTCTGAACAGTAATTAGATCTTTAAGGAGTTCAAAATCTGATATTGAGATATAGCGCCACCTGGGGGAAAGCTCATGTCTAAGAAAACGCTATTTTAAAAAATGTATTTCTTATATAATGGGTGTATAATAGTTCTGTTGGTTTTTAGCCCCACTTTTTATTTATCGTGGATTATGCTGAAATCTGTTTCAGCAAAAGTGCTTTGCTTTAAACCGTTATTTATGAAAAGTGATTTGTAATTATCAATAGCATTTCTGGGTGTTTTATTTTCATAATAATGGCTTGTTTTGGGAGACCCATAAGTGAGGATATTATTTGCATAGGCTGCTGTGGCCTTCCCTAGACATTTACTCAGAAGTTAAAAGCTTCTGCAGAATCAAATGCCGTCATTCACATCTAAGAACTGCTTTCTTAATGCTCCTCCTTAAGTCTGTGAGTACTGTAGCCGAAGTGTCATGTGTTTATGCTGGGCAAAAATAAAATTATTATTAATAATTACGTTTTTAAAAAAGTACGTTGTAACATTATTTGAATGTCCCATTCCTGCCATGGTTAAAAGACAAATAAATCTGGAAGGGGGCGTCAGCCTTCAGTTGGGAGCAGTTTGGGGATCTTGGATATGTTGTTTTGTATTCTAGTGAGTGAAGTCTTTGATAAGGAGGTGTCTCTCAGTGCTTTGAGCACAACCCCTGGTTTCGAAGGACCAGCTGCCACCCTGTGGGGCGCTTTCCGTACGCAAATGCATTAGTATTTAACCAGCATTCCTTGTGGCTGTGGCTGCAGTGCTTCCCTGGCCGTGGCCTAATTCTTTTTTTCCTATCCATGAGGTCTGACGTCCAAAGAGGACATCCTTCCCATAATGGACCCTTATGACAAACGGTGACATTTTAATAAATGTCCAGTGAGAGAAGGCCCTTGGGTTGGATCAACACCGCTTTCGCAAAAGGTTAAGCACTCGCTGCCTCCACCTTCGTCTCAAACCCCCTTCCATGGAGTTGCTTTCACATTTTTTTTTCCTTCGGCAAATCAGAGTCGCTTTGGTTACCGAGACCTCCTTTGCGCTAAGTGCTGCTGTCCGAGGTTCTGAATCGATGGCTCACTGTTCAATCGCCCTGCATCTTTCGGAACAATAGCCTGCTGTGAGCCATACGGTGGCCATTATCTTTGGGTACCTGCCGCGGAATGAACATCAGGGGGTCGGCTTATTTGCCTCTCTTTTTTTTCCTTATAAGAGAGGAATGTTCGATAAAATAATCATCGTTTGATTTGTATAAGTAGGGCTCAGTATTGCGAGAGCACACTTGCTAAATGGCATATGCTAGCGAGAACCTGTCGTAACACACATCAGGCAGGTGGCAGGATTCTATCTTGGTGTTCAGAGAAAAGTTAAGCTCCAGGCTGGGTGGGAGGGCACCCTGAAATTATGAATACACGGGTTTGTGTAGAGGAAGACTAGCTTTGACACTTAAAAAGCAGCATATGTAATTATATGTACTTGTGATAGGGCTCCAAGTGCTCAGACATTTCTCCTGTATAGCAAAGTGTATTCAGATGGGCAGGCTACAAATCATAAAATTATTATTATTATTATTATTATTATTATTATTATTATTATTATTATTATCATTATCATCATCATCATCATCATCATCTTGCCTCAGTTCTGCAGATCTCCCGGTGAAGGTGGTAACTTAGTTTTCACGAAGGAGTCTTTCAGAAAGGAGATATAGCTGACACCTTTACAGTGTTGCTGTTTGGCCTCTGGTAGAAATCTTTCACGCCCATAGCACGTGTGTGTGTGTGTGTGTGTGTATGTGTGTGTGTCCACAACATTGTATATTTTCCCATAGACAGGCGCTTGTTTCTTCATCTGGCTAGTCGCTTTCCAGCGCTAGAGATAAAACGTCCTTCATGTATTGGCAGAAAGTGGAATATTTATTAAAGCTCCGGATGCTATTGGGGGACACGGGCTTCTACTCTCCCCTTCAATTTTATTTTTAGCGAATGGGTGCAGTAAAGAAACCGAGTTTGATACGCGTGTGTCTGTTGCTAAATCGGAGTCCTCTAATAACAAGGTGGTTTTGTAAACGGACTAGATGCAGAGCAATCCCGTCTTTGGTTCCTTGGTGCCCCCCAGTGGACAGTTCCAAAATAATTATTCAAGCTTTGGATTCCCGCCCCCTTCGTAGACGGCAATAAATGGACGGTGGGCTTTATAAAAATTCTCTAAGCTCCTCCAAATGAATTGAGAAGGGAAGACACACACACCAACCCCCAATCCTCCTTTTTAAGACGATTGCTCAACAGTACGACCAACATGTTCCGGGCGCTAATAAGGTTGCTATCAGAGAGAAGCGACCATCAACCCAAATTAGGATTGAGCAGGTGGCTTTTAAAGAGCCAACTTTTATAAGGAAGACTCGTCGGAGAGAGGACGGCAAAACTCCCTCGTGGAAGCAGGAATGCAAGGCTCTGTGTGGCGTGGCGTGATCTGGACCCATGAAGATCACGCGAACACCTTGGTCTGAACAGGCAAACAGCCTCTCCTTCCAGCAATCGGAGTGCGGTAAGTATGCGCACAGAATCCCTTCTCGGGTCAGCCGTGATCTGGATTCAGAATCGAGGTGCGAAACCACACGTGCTCCTTCCACACCGCTCTTCCTTAGGGGAACCGCCTGCACACCTGCGAGTGAATCACGCTCGCTTGGGAAGGCGCAACGCTTGGAGGCGCGTGATTCCTCTCTCTGTCTCTCTCTCTCTTGCACCCCCTCCCTCTCTCGCCGCCTTAGTCAACACCCGCACTCCTGCCCTCCCAAACTCCAGCTCTTTGGCTTCCCATCTTGGAGAAAACGAGGTGGAGGCGCTGGCAGAAGCAGTGACTCATGCCTGCGTCGCAACAGATCAGCCGGCGATTCGCGCTTTTTTAAAAAAAGCGAATCTCAAGTATGGGGGGGGGGGCGCTAAGGTCATCTCGAATTAAATGCCAGGGAAGCCATTGATATTCCGACGTCGTTCGTGGCGGAGTTTATAAACGGCGAAGTTCTTCCAAAACGAAGATTTCTCCATCCTCCGCCGTTTGGGTTCCTGGAGTTGGAGCCTGGGTTGGTAAGTCTCTCTTGATTTATTTTAAAAAATTTTCCAACGAAAAAGAACTCGCCCCTCCGTTCTTCCCGGAGGATTTTGGAGGCTTTCTTTCGAGACGGTAGGGCTGTCTCCGTACTTAGAATTGAGGAAATGATATTCGGTATTGGAAAGCTGATGTTTAGGAGGAATAACCTGTTACTTCACTTTCCACCTTGGCCCAGGACGTATCCCCGCATCTCTATCTCTCTCTCGTTCTTTCTCTACCTCCGGAGATTCAGGTTTGTGACTCGAAATTAAACGCGTGTAGACAAGATGCAATCCTTCACCCGGCTGACCCACAACACCCCGGGGTGCACTTTATTCACGATAACTTTTTTCGTTTGGTGATGATGCCACGGTGACAGGTGGCGTTAAATCTTGACCAAAATTAAACCTATCTATCTCCCGTGAGCTTAGATTTTGATGTGTTTTTTAAAAAAACATTATTATTAAATAACGTGGACCAAACAGCTTTGAAGTCCAAACTCCCGAATGAGGTTGAGATCATGTATTGATCGATCCTCTGCTTTCTGACGACCAATGAACCTCCGGAAGAGGGTTGCTGGACGCGGAACGAAATGTCTTCCCAAAGCAGCGCCAAGAACACGCGCCGAGAGAGCGAGCCCCAGGAAGGCCAGCCTCTGTAGAACACCTCAATTTTCATTCATTCATTCATTCATTCATTCATTGTATAATTCGTTTGTGCGCATTCAGAGGCGCAAGTTGCCCTATAAGAATAGATCGGCTTGGCTGCTCCTTTCCCGCAATATTTGCCCCCCAGTTCGCCTCCCTCGACGTCGTTTCGTTTGCCTTTCGTAAACCTGCGAAGGGAGAAGGCGCCCCGAGGACCACCACCGGGATCGCTCGGAGATCTTTCTTCCACAAGCCATCGCCGGTCTCTTCCTCTCCCGACGCGTTTCTCCGCTTCCCCATTCGCTCCGAGCCGTCGCCTCCTTCGCTGCCCATTGAGCAAGAAGGGGCGTCGAGTGAGTGAGTGGCCGGCGGCGGCCATCCTCCTCCTCTCCCTCCTCTCCCTCCTCCCACCTGCCCTTCCCCTCCGCCGCTTTGCTTCCAGGGGCGAAGACGAATCGTGCTCGGCTCGCCAGCCCCGTCCAGACATTTCCCCCGCTCGCTCGCTCGCCAGCCAGCCAGCGCTGCCTCATAAAAACCAACGAGGTGTCGTCGCCTCCAGCCATTTCTCCAGCCACGTCGCTTTGTCTGAGGAGAGGAGGCGGGCGAGAGATCCGCGCACCTCCGAGGAAGAAAGGGATCCTTCTTCTTCTCCTTCTCCCCCCGCTGGAGGTGCAACAAGGTCCCTTTTGTGCGCGCCCTGCCCTCCCCACCTCCGACGGCCTGCGACTTGGCGCCCAGTTGAATGGCTTCTCGTCGCGCCTTGGCCGAAGCGAGAGGAAAGAGAGGGGGCGGGGGGGGGACCGATAGTCACAGCCCGAAACACACACACACAACCATACACACAACACCACACATACACACACACACCCTCTCTAAACCCGCCTTTCTCTTCCCTTGCAGTAAATCATTCTGCTGGGATCGGAGGAAGGCTAAGGCGAGAAGAAGACGAAGCAGCCCGGGATCCAAGGGCTTTGCCTCAGCACCTCATGGCGACCTCGGACCCGTCCTCGTCCAACACGGCTCCGGATCCCAATCCGAGCAACTTGCGACCCACAAGTAGGTCTCGCCTTCCCGTCTCGCGCCGCCTTCGTTTGCTGCCGCGGTTGGGGCGGCCACGCGTCGTCGTCGTCGTCGTCTTTTCTCGGCGGGTGGGTGGCTTCCCCACAAAATTCGACATTCGCCACAAAAACCACCGCGACCGAGAACAACCGACATGGAAGCTCGCCTTCGAACGAGAAACCCCTTTCCCTCCACTCCCCCAAAAAACACGAATTCAAGCCGAAACCGTGGGGTGGTGGGCGTGGGTTCGGCTTGGGGAAAAAACAAAGGAACCAAGGAATCTGGGGCCATTGCTACAAAAACGAGAGAAGGGGTGGCAAGGTGGGGAGGAATAAAAAGCCTGTTCGCTGAGGAGGACTTTGTACGCGGCTGCTGGAGCGGGGCGTGAGGGGCGGGTCGGGGTCTCCGACCATTTTTCGGGCCGGCGCCAAGTTCCACCGGTGGTTTCTGACGCGCGGCGCGAGTCCCTTCCCGCCGTTTCTTTTTCCTTTTCCTGAGGTAATCTCTGATCCAAGGGGCCAATGGAGGCTATTCGAGAGGCTTCCCACCCCCATCCCTTGTCCCTAACTGCCCCGTGTTTTGCCTGGAGTTATTAAGGTGTGAGTCGGAAGGGGAGGGCGCGAAGGAGCCGGGTTTATAGCTTTCGGCTAGACAGACATTCGGCAAACCCGCGGAGGGGGAGAAAAAAAAAGGCGGGAGGAGGGGGCGCGGCGGCGGCGGCGGCTTGAAATAAGCCTGGACGACATAATCACCCAAAGCGGGGAGGGCGATAAATGGAAGCTTGGCAAAAAGCGAGGAAGAGGTCCGCCCCCCTTGGAAGGGGTTGTGAAGCATGGACACCCCCCTCATTATTGGGCCACATGAGGGGAGGCTAAACCCACCGGGCGAAAATAGCTTTTTTGTGTGTGTGTGGTGGCCTGGCGCCTGTTTGTTTGTGTTTGTGTGGTGTTTTTCTTTCCTCTCGCCTCCGAGCTGTCAAAAGCTCCCCTAATTGTTTCAAGGCGTTTCACGGAAACCCGTGGCGGGCTTTTATTGGGGGGAGGGACACACGACAAAAGAAGGGTCGAGCGCGGTGTTGTGTATGTGTGTGCGTGTGTTGTGTATCTCCTCAGGAAGACTCCCTTCCCTCCGCGACCATTTCAAGGAATGCGGCCCCCTGTCAGGTTCCCTCACAGCAGGGAGCAGCGCGGGCTGCGCGCCCTCTTCCCGCGCTCGCGCGGCCATTGCCTATTGTTTCCCGACGGCTCTCTCTCGCGCGCTCCCTCTCTCCCGCCTCCTGGTCCGGCTGCGGGGGCGCGCGTGTGATTGAGGGGAGGGGATGGAAGAGGTGGTGTGTGTGGCGCGTGTCCCTTGGCCTCCTCTTCTGGTCATGCTCCACCTCGCCTGAGGCGTCTTAAAAGTCCTGTCAGAGCTGCTTCTCCCGCCTGCCACTCTCCGGTCCCGCCTTCCCTTTCGGCTCCCCGGCGCCCCGTCCTTCGTCCTCTCCGGCTGTCCTTCTTCGGCAGCCGGGCGGCCTCCTCCCTTTCACCTGAGGCGACCTTCTCCCGCTGCCTCCTCGCCGTCCTTGCGCCTTTCCAGCCCGCTGACCCGCTGGAAGGGCTCTCCACCCGCGCCATTTGTCTTCTTCCCGTTCCCTTTCCCGCCCTTCTCTTGCCTCGCCGCTTTTCTGCTCTCTTTCCCTCTCTGCCTGATGGCTCCAGTTCGACCACCACCACCACAACAACCCCCATTTTATTTTATTTTTGCCATACATTCCCACCCCCCACCTCAGCAAGCATCTCTCCAACTCTTAAGCTTGGAATCTCCCCCCTTCCCCATAGCTGTCAACTTTTCCCTTTTCTTGCGAGGAATCCTATTCGGAATAAGGGAATTTTCCTTTAAAAAAAAGGGAAACGTTGACAGCTATGTCTTCCACCCTTCAAATGCGCTCTGTACCCCGCCACCATTTCCCTGGGCGCGCCTTCTCGCGCCCGCCTTCCTGCCTCTTCTCGTCCTCCCGGCCAGAGCGCCGCCTACAGGCGCGTTTTTTAAAAAGCGTGAAAGGGGTGGTAGTAAAGGCGCGAGACCCAGCGCGCACTGCGGCCGGAGCCGAGGCCCAGCCTTTTCATTTAGACATTTCTGTTCTTTTTTCCAAGGGGCAGGCGGGGGCGGGGAAGCCTCTCCTTCGTATTTGCTGTCCTCTCCGACATGCCGGTTTGAGACCGTGGTTGCATCCATACTTAAAAGGAAACGAGCTCCACGAATGCCAACGGACACCTGCTTTCAAGGGGTGTGGATCGCATGGAAAGCCTGGCGATCTTTCTTGAAAGGAAGTTGCGTTGGAACCAGGGGGTCCCGAAAGGATGCATCTACAAAGGCCATAAATCTCAACTCCGGAGCAGTTACCCCCTTTGTATTGGGACCTAAAACAATGGCCAAGTAATACACCGCTAGCTAGAACCTTTATTCTCCCTCCTTCTTTCCTGCGTCCCTCAGTCTAGCACTGGCTTTACTCCAGGCCCAGCTTTTGGTCCCTTGGAGAAATGGGGTGTGCTTGTTTCCACAATTCTTGTTTCCACAATTCTAATGCAGGGTTTTAACTCCACCCACCGTGTTTTGCTTATTTATAGGCAATCGAATTTTTCTCTTTCCTTCCCCCACCCCACTCCATTAATTGCTTCGGATGGGCTCTTCCATTTCCCTCTCTTTCTAATTTCTTCCAGGAGTAGTGGGGGAGGAGAGAGCACATTGGAAATCCACTTAATGAATTTCAAGTTGGATTTCACAGAAATACACGGCAGTCAGGCAAGCTAGTTGTCTTCTTCAGGCATTGCCAGTATCCGTGCTTTGGGACATGCAGCTTAGGTTTCATTTAGGCCGCCTCCTGAATAATGCACGCATACCTTTTAAACTTGAAAACATGTTTTATAATACCGCTAGCGCTTTAGAGTTTAAAGAGTCAGAATAAAATACGCTTTTCCTTCTGGGTTACATTCACACGGTGTCCTTTCTTAGGATCCGGGTTAGTCATTGGCAGAGCCGCAGTTACCGGGCATAGAAGCCAGCTGCCAAATAGGCTTACTCGGAAGTAAATCCCCCTGAGTTCAGTGAGGCTTACTAATGTATTCCTTAACACCGTGGCAGAGCCGTTTCCAATTCTCCTGGCCTCCTGAAGTCTCTCGGCCCGCTGGGGCTTTGATGGTTGGCAATCAATTATCTTTCTGTTTCCTTCCTCCTGCGATTTGTTTGTGGGGAGTTTTGTTTGTCTCTTCCCTACTTTATCCCTTTCTATTTGCCCTGTCTCGTTTCAGTTAGTGCCCCAAACTAACTCACACTTGCCTAAATCTGAATGAAGGTCGTTGCAGCCTCTCCCACTTTCAGCACCGCCTGAGATGGACAGCGCAATGCGTGTTCCAACTGCCAGATAGGGGTTGCGGGCAGTATGAATGGGGTTGTCTCGAAAAATGGGGAGCAGGAGGACGTGAGGGGCCTTTCAATGTGTCTCCCTGACTCGTCATTCCGGCTGCAACCTAGTCATGCAAGTCTGATCATCTAGTCAAATACTATTTTTCACCCAATTAATTCCTGAACTCTTCCATGACCCCATTTCATGCCAGTTTATTTTAAGCTGCCACTTTCCTGGAGCAGTGCCAATAAATTATTAGGAGATAGTCAGGTCTCTCTCTCTCCTCCAGCTGCTTTGTCTCTTCCGGGTAGTACCTATACTGCCAGCGACTCGCCTGCGCGCTTAACCTGCTATTCCCTCCCACCCACCACCCACCTCGTGATTCCTTCATTGGCCCCAAAGGCTCCCTTAAAAGGAAAGCGTGCTCGACTTTGTTATAAGATCACGGAAATCACAAACTGGAGGCTTGATGGGGAACTTGGAATAGCAGAAAGCTGGGGGAGGGGGCGGCGGCATGAGGTTTCTTTCCGTTGTCTAATGGGGCTGCGACTAGACAACAAAGACTTTTGTTGTGCTCGTACCAGATATCACAGGGGAAGTGGAACTATGTCTTTGTTTGGACCAAGGACTGCAAGCCTCCCAGTCCTTGCGTTGACCTGGAGACATTAACGTAAAGCAAACACACCTGTGCGAAAAGATGCAGGTATCTGCGCTGAGAATGGAGGCCTGCCATTTTCTTCCACCAGCCCTCACATTCATACCGGAGGCATTCTTGATGATCCCAAAGACGTTTCATTTTAGAGTTAAGCCTTCTAGCTGTCATGAGGGTAGAAAACAGAAAGATAAAATGCGTTCCGCTTGGAGCAGTCCCTGCCCTGCGTAAGTCTTCGTTCCCACCACACCTCTCCAATAACCCCTTCTAGGACAGTGGAGAAGGCACTCTGCTTATGGCCGGCTAAAACTGTTTGCCCATTCACCTTTTGAGTGGCATCTGCTGCAATAAGGTAAATTAAGATTGAGATGCCAGTGTAATTGCCGTCCCCCCATTACCCCAAATCGCCAGTGCGATCAGTCAGTCACCTTTTGGGACCCGTTCTCTCTTTTGTCTAGCAGAACATTATGGTCTGCTAGTGGGGCTGCTAAATATTTCGTTTGCGTTCTGAGAGCTGCAGTATATTTTTTAGAGCCAGGTCTGCCGCTCCTTCGAAGCACAGCAGCTGGGGATTGCAAAGTAGGCTGCACCGCTCATTTCCACGGCCATAAACCTCTCGTCTCTGTTCCTTTCAGCTTATGACACCTGGTGTGGTGTGGCTCATGGCTGCACGAAGAAAATCGGGCTGAAGATATGTGGTAAGTGAAAAGATGCGCGCGCAAGAAATCGTGTAGCTCCGGTCATATTCTCTCTGCGTCTGTGTCTCTTTCTCTTTCCTTCTCTCTCACCTCCTTCCCTCCCTCAGGCTTTGTCTTGAATCCATAATCATCCCCGAAGCTTTTTTATCACTTGCTTAAACCCATCACCGCTCCCTTTCTGAAGCAACTGGGTTGGCCGACCAGAGAAAAAGTAGGCCACCTCTTTTATCTGCAGATAAACGCAAGAAACGGGAACGAACCCGCAAAGAAACGTTTCTCCTCCCCTCTTCCTCCGCCCACGGAGAAGTGCGACGAGGCCACCATCAGCAATGCCCCAAATTCGTTTTCAAGGAGGTGGTGGGATGGGCGGGCTGTGTGTCTGTGGAAGAGCGAAATTGGCGCTTCTCTCTAATCCTGTGCTAGAGGCTCTTGCGCCACCTACTGTCCGACGCAAGCACAGGCCGTCAGCAGCCAGGGCAAAGCGCAACTGGAGGTAGAATTTACTGGTTCCCCATTAAATTGACCTACTGGTGCTAGAAAACAACAACTGCGGCTGCTGGAAATACACCACAGGCCTTTTTCCCCCCAGGGCATTTGAAGCGAGATGGGCGTTTAGCAGATGGATAGCGCGACACCTGTGCGCATTTGCAAGAGGTCCCTTGGACTGGAGACCCTCTGCCCAAAAAGAACTGCAGGTCCTTTTGCGCGTGCGATGCAGCTGGTAGATTAAACAGGGCTAGCTTTAGGAAGAAGGCATCTCCGCAATTCTGCTCCTCCTGCCCACCTCAAAAGGGGTAACTCCTCCTGAAGCCTCCGGGTATCCAGCTCCCTGCGGCGACCCTGTGAAACGGGGGTCGTCGAGGAAGGCTGGGGAAGGGGGTGTGGCGGCGGCGCAAGACCGAAGGCGAGAGCGAGCAGCAGGAGGAAGGGAGCGCTTGCCAGGCAGCGAGTTGGGGCTGCTTTGCCACATCTCACTGTCTGAAATTTTTCAACCTTATCGGCCCAGAAAATACGGATCTCCTGGGGGAGAAAGATTAACGAGAGCCTTATTAAAGAGCCATTCGTCAGGCTGCTGCGTCCGGGAGATAGGAGGCTGGCAGCCAGTCAGCGCTCGGGTGTCTTGAAGTGAAGGGAGGAGGAAGGCGAGCAAATAATATGCCGTCAGATTGCACCCGCTACAGCAAGAGATTCATTTGCGGATAACGAGACTGTCTGCCTCTCTTTAGATTTCTTTATAACACCTAGGAAAGAAGGGGGGCGGGGACGCCTAAGCCCAGCCATACCTTGGTCCATGTTTTGCTTTTCGAGGTTTTAAATGCATTTAACAATAGCCCGGTCCTGTGTGCGCTTGCTCGTAAGAAAACCCCACTGAACACCATGGGGTTTACTCCCCAGGAAAATATGCACAAACTCCCGGCCTTTCAACAGAAGCCCTTTGCGCGCTTATTTGGGAGTAAGGCTCGGGTTAGGGACTTGCTTCTGGGTAAACACGCATAGGATCAGGCTGTGAGAGAAGCGCTTTCATCAAATCACGTGTGTGCTCTTAAACATCCACTTGCATGCAGGCAAGCACGCACTCACACGTTTTTCACTAATATTTCAGCATGCCAGAGGGTGGTGGTGTATTTTAAAGACGAAGGAAACGCACGGGAGTTTGGAGCCGGAATTAAGGCGCGTCTGAAAAGCACCAGCGCCGAGGTTGCTTTAACCCTTCCAGCCCAGCAGAGGTTGCCTTGGAGCCGAAGCAAGGACTGCTATTAACTTCTTCCTCTTCTATAAATAGCTCCTGATCTGGGCTTAATGGGCCGTTTCCTTGCTGGTCCCTTCAGTGGCTGGAGCGGCGAGGGTTTTTTCATCATCATTTTAATTTAGCTCGGCAAGCAGAACTGATAAAGTAACGCGCCGCTGCCTCTGGTTGCTAGACTACCGGGGTTTATGGAGGAGCAACCCTTCTGCTGCCACTAAACAAATACAGACCGCTAGAAATACTGCGCGCTCTCCCAACAACCGTTGTCAATGCAGCACGGTGGGCAACAGCGCGATCCCCAAACCGGTCGAGCTGTTAAAGGCTTTAAATCCAGACCTGCAGCTTATAGAACATTTTGGACTGAGCCGCAAAGTCCAGCTGGTGGTTTAGAGCAGTTTTTAAGGTGTCCCAAGTCTCCGTTGGTGGTAGTGTTTTGTGGCCAGCGTTTCTTTATTATTTTTCCTTGGGCGGGGTTGAGCGCGCCTGCATCCTCCCACTTAATAAAATACATGCATTTCTAAGCTGCTTTAGAAATTTTAAACAACGGGACCTCCTTAAGCTGCAGCCATTTGATCGCTGTTAGATTTGTTCGTTGGTTTCAGGCTTCCCTATGCGGAAAGGGCAGGGTAAGGTTTGCGCAGATTAGTTAGATCCACTTTAATTCTTTCCATATTAAATTCAAAAGAGTCTGATTTCTCACAGTTGGGAATCAAATTTTCATCGTGTGTGTGTGTATGTAAATCCTTTCGTTGCGTCTGACGCTTCCAAACGTCGTCGGTTGCCGGGCCATTAAGGACTTTCAAGTCGATTACCCTGCGCGATTGATCAGTTAATTAGCCAGCCCATCAAAGCGAGTATTATGGTCTCTCAAGGCAGGCGCTGGCTGGCGGATGCTTCCTGGAGCAAAAACGTGCCGACTTATAGGGGACCAATCACCCGTTTTGTCCAGAGTTGTGAAGGCGTCTCGCCGGACTTGAGGCACCTAACCCAGATGTCTGTGCAAAGCCGAAGTAACTTTCGCGAAAGGCAGACCTAACTAAAAAGCGGACTGAAGATTATTATTTTTTTAAGCCAGCTGTGAATAAATTATTATGGAGGTGATGCTGTGCATCTTGGTCTAACCGGAAAGGCAGAAGATGTGAGAAAATTACTGTATTTAAGCTCAGGAATATTCGCATTTCTTTTCCCGGCGCCCACACCACCCGTGGATACATGATTTTCCGTTTGAGATATTATATAAACCAGGCCTGGAAAACTTGCTGCACTGCTCCCTGTTGCTGGAGCCTAACATCCACCCATCATCCATTGACCGTACTACCTGATGGGCTTTTGAGTCCATCAACTTCCGGAGGGCTGCCGGTTCCTCACCTCTACGGTGAATTATAATCTCCTCCCTGAGAACTAGCAACTCTGTTTGAGGATCCCGGTTCCTCAAACTCCTTTGGTGTCTGCAAAAAGAGGGAGGGGCAAGAGATCTCGGGATCCCACCAGGGGGACGAAGTCATTCAGAGATCTGAATTGAGATCAAATCCTACAGAATTCGATTTACTTCTGAGAAAGCACTTGTTGTCAGACAGCGCTGCTCCCTTGCCTTGCCTTGACTGTCTTTTAGCGCCTACAAACCCTGGCGGGGGCGATCGCACCCTGAAAATAGTTATTCACATAAATAAGTAAGTAAATGCAAAGCGGCCTCGCCTCAACTTCTTTTGATTTCAGCGGACTTTCCGATTTCTCCCCGTGGAGTTTCCAGGGACGCGAAGTCTGGATAAAGGGGCGTCTCGCCAAGACTGCGACCGCCAACTCGGTGTGACTTAGGTGGCTGCAATCCTTTACCTGGAACTGTGACTCAATGGAACTTGCTTCTTGAGGGAAGAGACATGTTTAGAATTGCGCTATTATCCCAAAGTAAGAGTGCAAAGGATTGCCGCACAATTGGGAAGAAAGGCCACCGAAATCCAGCGGGATATATTTTCCCCAAATATAACGGGTTTAGGATTTGTGCTGCTTGATCGATGCTGACCACGCCTAGGCATGTTTATTCAGGGAAATAAGTCGCGCTGCGTCCCGTGGAAATCACTCCTAAGTAAATGCGCGCAGGATGAAGAATTGCCAAACGCGATGGTGCCAAAGAACAGAACAGAACAGGGAACATGAGGCCATATTGTATTTTTATATATCTCACCTGTCCCCTAAAGACGTCAAGGAGATTTGAACCGCTGACACCTAGTTAGGGAAGTTCTCAAAGGACACAAGAGTTCTTATTCGGAAGTGTCCAAAGCAAGAAAAATAAAAGAAACACACAACACATATCCCTTCTGTTCAGCCCAGTAGAAACCACAGAGATCTTAAAACTACCGCAAAAGTTACCACAGTGCATCCCAGAAGCTATACACTAATAGAAAGCGTTTTACGGGAGCGATTAGGTTTGAAAACCCTCTAGGAACAAAGCAGAGAACACTTCCAGCGGGACGCAGCATAGAGGCCACACACTACTTCCTGTGAGATGGTGGATACATTGGTTTAATAAATGAATAAATAAATAAATCCGTTAACTTGCAAACCAGGTAAACTGCAGTCGTTCGACATGAACAGTATTTACGAAAGCAGGACCCATAAAACTGTTTCCTTTTATGCAAGTTTAGATTCTTAAAACTTTTCAATACCATCCAAGCTTGTGCCCTTGGGTCGGTTTCGGTGTTTCGCATTCATTCATGATGCGCAATGGAAATAAATGCCAGGTTCAATTTATGTTCAAAGGTACACAAAGACTAGGGAAACTTCTCTATTCTGAGGCGAATCAGAGTGGAAAGTAATTTATTCTCTGCTGGCCCCAGTGCTTGTTTTCCCGGTATAATTATTTAATTCGAGTATTCAAGTCGTTTTGTTGCCATTCTTCCATTTTGGTGTTTTGTTGCGTGTTCCTTTGTCTCTTAGACCCAACTCGCAGCCGGAAGGAATACGCTGCTTGTTTTAGAAAGAAGCGAACCCAACGCCCTTCCCCATCAGCCAATCAGAGTGAAGTAGGACTCCTTTCCTAATTGGCTATGCTCTCCTTTATGTAATGTGAGCCGCGCTCGGATTTATCCAATGAGGCTTCAGTAGAACATTCACAAAATTTCTGCGGTGGTTCTTGGGTGGGCGGACTATAGAACGCAGTCGCTCTCGTTTCTAGTCCTCACGGCCGCTGTAATAGAGCGAGGTCGAAAACGAAAAGGCTGCGGAAGGTTGGGTCGCTTGCTCTCAAAGGTGGTCCATGGAGACCTTAAGCTCGGGGGCGGTCTGTCAGAGAGCGCTATAGTGGAGCTGGGATTTTGTTATTCCTTCCTGCCATAGCTGTCAACTTTCCCCCTTTTTTAAGGGAAACCCTATTCGGAATAAGGGAATTTGCCTTTTTTAAAAACGGGAAACGTTTAAAAAAGGGAAAACTATGCTTCCTGCTTCCGCTCTATCTTATGAGCAACCCAGTCCTGTGGTCCCAATGGAGACAGACTGGTCTAGTAGTCAAAATTCATAGCCCTCCCTTTGACTATAGAGCAGTATTATTATTTAAATAAACACCTTATAGTTTTCGATGTTCGAATCCAGAATGGGATGAGCTGTGTTTAAAGAGTCTCGCTCGCTCGCTCGCTCGCTCACACAAACACACAAATTGTCATTTTTCTATAACTATGCCTCTCAGTAGTTTAATACTATTTTCTCTAAGGCCTTTAAATCTTGCCCTGAAAATAATTGGCTTCCTTTTATATGCCCAGTAGCGTCAGATCAAGTTGAATTACCTTCTAGGAGAGTGGGGAAGGGAGAGAGAATCTACTGTAAAATAATTGCCCAATTTGTACCTATTACTTCAATGTCGCGTGGATGCAGCAACCTGGTTAACTTTATTAGCTGAAGATTTCCTGATACATCATCCTCACAGAAGTTCAATTTGGTTTGTTTTTTAAAACAAGAATAACTGATTAAATCTTTAAATGGGAGGAGGAAAGGGGAGGGCCAGCCCTGGCTGGCTCTAGACAGGCCCCGCTAGATCTCGTTTTAATTAACTTTTCTGGAAATGAGCAGCGTTGGACTCCCGCCCTCCTTTCTGGATGCACCGAAGGACGGAAAGAATAGCACAACTAGTACAGTTGATGGTTATCAAGTAAGCCTTGCCAAGGAGAAATAGAAGAAATCCAATGCGGCAGACAGGGACGCTCCTGTTATCTGTGCCACTTGTTCAAGGAGACCGACGGGTCTACTAAATTCTTAGGGCCACGATCTAACGAAGTGAAGCGCCCTTTAATTCCTGGAGTCCATTGGTGATCTGAGAGTGATTGACTTTGGCTGAATTCTCGGCTCTTTATAGGTAAACAGGTAAAGGACCCTTGGACGGTTAAGCGCAAAGGCGACTATGGGGTTGCTGCGCTCATCTCGCTTTCAGGCAGAGGGAGCTGCGTTTGTCCACAGACAGCTTTCTGGGTCATGTGGCCAGCAGGACTAAACCGCTTCTGGCACAACAGAACACCTTGAGGGAAGCCAGAGCGCACGGAAATGCCTTTTACCTTCCTGCTGCAACGATATCTATTTATCTGCTTGCACTGGCGTGCTTTCCAACTGCTAGGTTGGGAGGAGCTGGGACAGAGCCACGGGAGCTCAGCATCTTGCGGGGATCCAAACCCTCAACTTTCTGATAGGCAAGCCCAAAAGGCACAGTGATTTAGACCACAGCGCCACCTGCGTCCTTCTTTATAGCCACGACCACGCGATGCCATTGCTCACGCGTTGCTCCACATTTTAATCCTTTGCTGAAAGGCCAAACCCCATTCCAATACGCTTTGTGGGGGCTTCAGCTCAAGGGACCCCCGTTATCATTCTTTCAGTTGTTGGCAAGCTCAGTGCCTTTTGGAATTGAAGAAGGCTGATGTCCTCTCCAGTGCATCAAGCGCGCGCACACAGAGCACACGCGCACTCATGGAACCGTATTCTTTGGAGAACAGCGACCCCTTCGTGTCTCTTTACGCACCAAAAAAACCTAAACTGAACTTGGAGAGACATAAATAATAGGGGGAGACTTAGGTTCAATTTCCCCACTCACGGGGTGATCTTGAGCTTCTCTTTGCCAGGGCTTTATTATTAGTATTAGCATTATTTTATCCATACCCTGCTTATCTGTCTGGGTTTCCCCAGTCACTTTGTGGGGAGAATTCCTCTCTGACCGCTTTTAGAGCAAGAGGTAGGGGAGCTGTGGCTCCTCCAGAAATTTATGGGACTCCACCTCCCATTAGTTGCAGCCAGCATGCCAAATGGGTCATGGTGGATGGGAGTTGTAGTCCAGAAACATTGGGAGGACCAGTAGCTTCCCGATCGCTGCATTCGTTCCTCTCTCGCTTTTTGAGCAGAAATCTAAAATTAAGATTGCGGTAGTTTGCCTGTCACAAGCGGGGACCTCTGGTGGATGAGTCAGTGGAGTCACGTTTTGCAGCCTTCCTCGGCTGAAAACTTTATTTAAAAAAGCAAGCTCCCCCCTCTCTTCGGTCCGATGCGCGCGCGCTCTAGCGAAGACGCGACACCTCCCAAGTTTATTCTTGGCACCGTGTGCTTTCGCCTTGAAAGGGAGCCCCCGCTGGCACGTGCCTTTCTGTAAACCCCACCCGCCCCCCCCCTCTCCTGCCTCCCACTGAAGTCAGCGGGACGTTTTGCCTTGGGCTACTCCTTGCAATGGGGGGTGGGGGGGAGGCCTGGCTGTCATCACGAGGAAGGAACCGCGAGGGCGTGAGTGAGCCGGAAGAAAAGGAAGCGCGTCCCAAAATCGTGAGCCTGAGTCAGAGCGACAGGAGAAGACAGAAATAGCGACTGCTTTGGGGGGCTTCCCCTCCCGCACCGGCACTTGCACGCACGTCTTCCTCTTCGACTGACGACGCAGTTCTTCGAAGGAAGCTATGGGATCCGTGCAACGGGCTCCCCACGGAAGGCAACAGCAGAGAAGGCAACCACTTGGTTCCAATCAGGCCTGATGGTTGCTAGCTATGCTCAGAGTAGACCCTCCAGTCTACTAACTAACCTAACGCCCATTATTTTCAATAGCCCTACCCTTGTTTGGGCAGAAACATACAATGCTAGTGTCTATTCCGTGTTACAGCATCGGTACATCTAACCTCCTCTGTCTTATCTACACGAGCTGGCTGCGGCCTTCTGGGACTTCAGGAAAGGCTCTTTCCCATCCCCTTCGTGGAGATGCTGCGAGTTGAACCCACGACCTTCTGGATGCACAGCAGGGGCTCTGCCGCTGAGCTACAGGCTCAGGGCCACCCATTCTACACTCACGAGTGGGACTTGCTTCGGATTAAACGTTTCCCAGGAGTGGGGTGTCCTGCTCCTCCATCGGGTTTCTTTGCACCTAAAACGTTTCTGAATAGGAGCTAACTTTCGTTATTTCCCCATCCCTCTTTTACAGTGCAAGCCTACGCACGTTTACTCAGAAGTAAATCGCACTATGCTGAAAGTGGCTTCATCCTAGGTAGAAGTGTGCATAGATTGGAAGCCTTGATTATGGTTATTATGATTATAGATTTTTTAAAAAGTAATAATCAGAAATAAATAAGAATAAAAATGTGCACCCTTTCCCGGAGACCATTCCATTGCAACTATCCAACGTCCCAAAATTTCAACACTTCTTGCGATGATTTTGACCCCTTTCCGTTTTAACTACAAATTCTACAAACACCCTCCATATCTCCTCAAAATCATTTCTCCTGCATATTCCCCGTCTTACCTTAATGGCACATGTTAATTTATCATTAATAGCTATATCGCACAGATCTTTATACTATTCTTCCATTCTGGAATGAAGACTGGGAGCCTTAAACATGATCTTTATCTTTATGTCTTAATTAAAAAAAAAAAGTAACCAAACTGATGAGAGAATCCTGTTCGGAAAGTCTCTTTTTTTTAAGGTTATATAAAAACAAGAGTAGAGGTCGTTCTCTTTTTATTTTGAATTCGTTTGCGTCGAAATCTATGGCAGTTATGTGCGTTGCGAGCTTAATACTGACGAACTGATGGGGGGGACGCATTCATTCACGCCCCCTACCCCCGCCCCTTCCCACGAAGGAAATAATTCTCTTTCGGGGGATCTGAAGCGAGCGCAGCCTTCCAACATATAGATTAGCCTCCGAGGTGGTCCCATTGAAGCCAGGCATAATAGGGCATCTGTTCCCATGGCAACGAAAAGCAAACGCGGAAAGCGGGGGTAGAGTCTGACTGGAGCCGGGAAGCTTTGACCGATTAATCAGCAGCCGCCGGGGACCGACGGACGCGCATTCGCCGTGGATTTCAGAGCGCGAGCGCCGAACTAGATTTCCTGAAGGGATGCCACATCCTAAAGTCTGGTCCTATGTGCCTGTTAGTTTAGAAATTAGTCCAATCTCAGTGGGACTCGCTCCCTGGCAAAGCGTGCGCAGTACTAAGTGCCGCACTCATTTCAGTTTCAGAGCACATTTGATGAGGACTGAGCTTCCCCCACACACACTCATTTTCCTCCGCTTTGGGGGGTCACGGACCTTTCCCCTAAATCGATGCCTCCAGCAACAAGGAAGAAAAAATCTCAGTGAGGCTGCGCTCCTTTGTTATGCTAAGGCTCTGATCCTAACCGTGTTTGCCCTGAAGGAAGAAGTGCTAGAGAATTCAGTGGGGCTTTTTGTTGTTGTTGTTTAGTCGTTTAGTCGTGTCCGACTCTTCGTGACCCCATGGACCAGAGCACGCCAGGCACTCCTGTCTTCCACTGTCTCCCGCAGTTTGGTCAAACTCAAGTTGGTAGCTTCGAGAACACTGTTCAACCATCTCGTCCTCTGTCGTCCCCTTCTCCTTGCGCCCTCCATCTTTCCCAACATCAGGGTCTTTTCCAGGGAGTCTTCTCTTCTCATGAGGTGGCCAAAGTATTGGAGCCTCAGCTTCAGGATCTGTCCTTCCAGTGAGCACTCAGGGCTGATTTCCTTCAGAATGGATAGGTTTGATCTTCTTGCAGTCCATGGGACTCTCAAGAGTCTCCTCCAGCACCATAACTCAAGAGCATAAATTCTTCGGCGATCAGCCTTCTTGATGGTCCAACTCTCACTTCCATACATCACTACTGGGAAAACCATAGCTTTAACTATACAGACCTTTGTCGGCAACTCTCGGGTAAATGGGGTTAGGGTTGCAGCTTAACATGGAAGTAAAGCTTTATTCAGAAAACTGGGTCTTAGAGACACTTAGAGAATTAGGCGGCCCTTTACTGTTAAACCGTCCGATAGACACCTCCGCAATATCTCTCCTGTAGGTTGAATGCTATCGATTTGAACAGCGCTGCTGATCGGCCTTTGAAATCAATGCAACTGGCTTCTAAATAAGAACAACCGTTGCCAGCGGTGTGTCTGAACCTTTCGCAGTTCTGCGTTTTTGGGTTTGGAAAACGAGCACCGCCACACACTCCTCCACCTTCCAGGAGTAGTAGTTGTTGTTGTTGTTGTTTATTAAATTTGTATACGCCCTTCATCCCAAGGTCACAGGAGGGTTCATCACATAGAATTAAGAAACAAGAACACAAAATGCATAACAATAAGACCAAACAAAAGCAAACCAATCACACACACCCTCCCACAAACGCCTTTGAAAGGTCATAGACTGTTTAATCAGCCAAAGGTTAGGTTAAAGAGGAGCGTTTTCGCCTGGCGCCTAAAGGTGCATAATGAAGGCGCCAGGCAAGCCGCCCTGGGAGAGAATTCCACAAAGGGGGAGCCACTGCAGAAAAGGCCCTGTTCTCCTGTTGCCACCCTCCCTGCCTTTCGTGGAGGAAGCACACAAAAGCCTCAGATGAGGATCACAGGGTCCAAGGTGGTTCATATGGGGTCGGTTTCACTGGTGGTGGTGTACCCTGGATAAGTAAAAGCCAGACTGCAGGCCACACCTTCCAAGGGAGGTCGGGATTCTGCGCTTAGTGCGTACAGACCCCTGTATGACTGCAGTGGGAATCACTTCCGAAAACTGTGAAGTTCACGTCCAGCTGTGTGTTCCAGGACTGACTACGAAACCAGAGAGACTTAAAAGCAGCGGCGAGGGTGTGCGTTTCCCAGATTTTGCTGTTTTGGAGAGGTTACTTTTTTTGGTATTCCAAAAAACAAACCCTTTCTTCGTTTGCTTGGCTTCGATGGCCCTTCATGGCCCCTATCACAGTCCAGGCAGTCCGGACGGGGTCCCTTTCGCCTGAAGTCCACAAAACTTCCGCCGCTGGGGAAGGAAAGTTGGGACGAGGTGGGGGCCTCTTGCCAGGATGCCATTGACTCCGTCCTGATCTTTCCCCTCCTGTCTCTCTTTTGGAGGAGTGGCATCTGTCCTATCGATTTAACAAGGATTTGCCATTGCACTAAATGACGAAAAATTGCGCGCGCGGTCACACCCCCCCCCCGCACCCCGTCCTTTTTTCTTGCCTGACTGGCTTTTTGCAGCTGATGTCCTTTGAGCGCTCTTTCCTCAGGGCGAGTTGTCTCTCCCCATAAATACTCTCCCTCTCCGACCTCGATAGGGGAGATCCTCTAGAACCAGCCCCACTGCGGGAACGGGCGGTGGGGTCTGGCAAAGTAGGAACCAGTTTGGGGGGGTGGGGGGAGCAGGTGTGGCTGGGTGCTTTGCTGGGTGGGGTTATCAGCAGCACGTAGGGTCTCCTTCGTTCTCCCCTCCCTGCTAACTCTCCTGAGCGGCTCGGTGGTTCTTTTGCTAAGCCAAGATGTTGGGAAGCGAGATCAAGCCTCCTCTGACCTGTCCGCCTTGTAATAACGATGTAGGGTTCTTGCAAAGGAACAACAGCCTGGAAGACAAGAGCCGGCTGGTGAGCGCGCTCAAGGAAAGGCAATCTTCCAAGAACCTGCTGGCCTGCGAGAACAGCGAGAAGGAAACCCGGTTCCGGAGGACTGAGACGGACTTCTCAAACCTCTATGCCCGGGGTAAATAAATTCTTCTTCTTCTTCTTCTTCTTCTTCTTCTTCTTCTTCTTCTTCTTCTTCTTCTTCTTCTTCTTCTTCTTCTTCCTGCTGCTAATTCTTCTTTCCCAGGTAGGGCACATTCCCACTAACAGGGGCTCCTTTCCCAAAAGGAAAGGGGAAGCGTTGAGTTGTCTGATCTTGAGTCATACCACTGGTCCATCTAGTTCAGTGCTTCTTGCACTGAACTAGCAGGGCACTTCAGCGTTTCAGCCTGAAGATGCTGAGGACTGGACATGATACTTTCTTAATGAAAAACAGTTCTCAACCTACCGGTATAGCCCTTCTCCTAAAGATACTGGCACATTGCTTAAGAGAATCATTGGCCCATTGGTAGCTCAGTGATTGCCCTGGCTGGCCTTGATCTCAGAAAGGGGATATTTCCCACCCTACCTGGAGAATGCTGGGCTGGGTGAATTTGAGACCTTTTGCATACAAAGTAGATGTCCCACCACTGAATTATGGCCCTTCCCTAATATTTGAGGGGGGGACAGGGGGGAGGAGAGAGATGGTCCATAGAGGTTTAAAGGCTGCAATCCTAACTCCACTTTCTGGGGAGTAAACCCCGTTGATTTCAGTAGGACTTGCTTCTGAGTAGACATGGTTGGGATTGCGCTGATGGGGAATTATGCACAGAGTGAAGAGAAGTGTCCCTTGACCTAACACACATACACACACACTTTCTCACACAACTTAAAATGGGAGTCGTCCACTGAAGCTGACAGGAGAATCACCAATACAGGCAAAAGAAAGTCTTTATCTATCCCAAGTTTATTAATGTATTGGAGTCACCGACGCAAGATGTGGTGATGGCCACTGGCTTAACCACCACCAGTTAAGAAGTGAGTTGCATTGAATTCAAGGGGGCTTACTCCCAGGTAAGTGGGGTTAGCGTAACAGCTTTAGATGGAGTTATAATAGTGGGGATTTGGACAAAATTCATGGCTTGTCAGCCACCATAGCTATATGAAGCTTCCGTGTGCAGAGACATTAACAGCAGTTGCTGGGGGAGGGTACACAGTGTGTGGGAAGTGTTGCCTTCATGACTTGCTTATATGGGCTTCCAGGGGCACTTGCCTGATCAGACTTCTGCTGGTAACAGGACACTAGGCTAGGCAGGCTTTAATTCTGGTGCAGCAGGGCTCTTAGCTAGCAGCCCCCACTTAAGCTGAGACGTGACAGTAGTGCTGTGATGACTCCATAGAAGTGAAAGGAAACATACTTTTTCCGAAAGCATAGGCATTCCTCTCTTTTTCAGGCGTTTCAGGCTTTGAGTCATGCATGCAGATCGTGTAGCTCAGGGTTTGACGAAGCTGAATTCAAATTCAGCACCAAGGAGAGCTCCTACAGAGCAACATGTAAAATCAAGGGCTGGAGGTGGTCTTTTGAGCCACTCGGTCCCAGCTCCTGCCAACCTAGCAGTTCGAAAGCACGTCAAAGTGCAAGTAGATAAACAGGTACCACTCTGGCGGGAAGATAAACAGCATTTCCGTGTGCTGCTCTGGTTCGTCAGAAGCGGCTTAGTCATGCTGGCCACATGACCCAGAAGCTGTACGCTGGCTCCCTTGGCCAGCAAAGCGAGATGAGTGCCACAACCCCAGAGTCGTCTGCGACTGGACCTAACGGTCAGGGGTCCCTTTACCTTTACCTTTACCTCCAATCCACTTCTCCTGTACTCCTCTCCCTTTATTGGGGCCCTAGGAACTTATAAAATGGCAAACTCAGCCAGTCATACTGTAGCCTCTGACTGCAGCAGGCAATGTGCTTTCGGTGTCCAAGAAGCTGCTTCCCACAATAGCTCCCATTTAGGTAGGTCAGAAGCTGCTGAAAGACCACAGTCATGATTCTACATGTACTCTGAAAAGGTGTAGACATTAATTATTCAAGACTGTTTCAGATCGCTTGCCATGTGGAGTTAAATTTAAGAATTTCAGAAACACACACACACATTGCAATCAACAGATCTGAATCCACACAGTAGGAGCCTTCAACTACTATATATAAGCAAAGATGCACTAAAGCTAGTTATATTCATGCTTGTGGGTGGTTTCCAAAGATATAAAACATATAGCAAGCTGTTAATGCACCACAAATGTAAGATAAATGTATTTGAATGAGTGGGTTTTTTGTGGGGGAGGGGAGATTGAGATAGAAAGAGCTCAGTAATTTCTAACATTGAGAGGCACAGACCTTCCTGGAAGTAAGCCTTGCCCCCAAACCACCAACACACAAGGGGATAGTTTATAGTTGCCCAGTGATGCAGGAAAGGCACTCTGTACATGCTCAAAGACACTTGCTCTTCAGAGAGACAATTGTGTTAGTTTGTTGTCGCAAAACAAAAAAGAGGCCTGAAGCACCTTGAGGACTATTAGATTTGTCACAACACAAGGTTTTGTGGGCTTCAAGCTCTACCATCAGACACATGTTATTTTTGTTCTGTTCTTGAGTATGGAAGGAAATATTGAAAACAGTGGGGCCAGAGTTCAACAGGAGCAACAGCCTGTGTAACTATTCTGACCGGGTCCCTGTATTTTTAATAGCTTGCTTAAAAGCAGAAATTCAGCAAGTGGCCTCATCATCCTCCGTCGCCACCTCCCCACCGTATAATATAATATAATATATAATCTGACAGACTGAGGATAACACTTCATACCTCTGACCAAGCAGGCTCTGGTTAGTTCATGAAATTTTATGCCATAGTAAATCTGTTAGTTTTTAAGATGCCACAAAGTGTTGTTCTGCATAGTTCCTCATAGTCCCAGGTCATATAAAGCAGGCAGAGTGGTGTGTGTTTTGGTTCACACCACACTTCTTTTTTGGCTAGCCCCCCGCCCCCCCCCATTAAATCAGGGTTCACCAACCTTTCTGAGAATTGAGATGGAATCCTTTTCTTCCCTACACTTCTTGCATTTCTCCAGTTAAAGGGTTACCTGCCTGGGGAGGGGGGGGGCCTTGAGACAGGTGTGCCAACTGCTTTTCAGCTAGGGATCTAGTGCCTTTAAGAGTTGTGTGACAGGCAAAAATCCAGCAAGTTCCTTTCTCTCTTTCTTTTGCAAAACCGCTCCCAGTCAGTGCCCACAATACTGGTGTTAGCTGGACCAATGGTCCGACTTAATATAGCACAGCTTCCTAGAACCCCAGAATTGGAATGGGCCATGAGGGTCACCTAGTCCAACTCTCTGCAATGCAGGAAGATTTCACTCAACGTGGGGGCTTGAACCTACAGCCCTGCGATTAAGTGGGCCCCGGCTCTAAATAGGTTAGAGATACCGGTACCTTCCCTAGATGCAGTGATGAGGAGAGTGAGTATGGAGACAAGGACACTCTTGCTTTCTGGGGGTGGGGGGAATAATCCAGAGCACCACATCCTGTTTTTACATGTGTGTGTACTAACACGGATCAGAATATCCACATCTCCCCAAAGCATGCATTGAAAGAACGCAGAAATTCCATCCATTTTCCTGTTTAGCTACCCTGTTCTTGAGCACAGAGATGGCGAAGGGTTTTAGTGGTCTTAAGTTTGCATATTGGTATGCTAGTGGGAGCTATTCTGCATTAACCAATGGCGCTGTGGGTTAAACCACAGAGCCTTGGGCTTGCCGATCAGAAGGTCGGCGGTTCGAATCCCCGAGACGGGGTGAGCTCCCGTTGCTCGGTCCCTGCTCCTGCCAACCTAGCAGTTTGAAAGCACATCAAAGTGCAAGTAGATAAATAGGTACCGCTCCGGCAGGAAGGTAAACGGCATTTCTGTGTGCTGCTCTGGTTCGCCAGAAGCGACTTAGTCACGCTGGCCACATGACCCGGAAGCTGTATGCCGGCTCCCTTGGCCAGTAAAGTGAGATGAGCGCCGCAACCCCAGAGTCGGTCACAACTGGACCTATGGTCAGGGGTCCCTTTACCTTTACCTTTAGCAAAAGACAGTCAGTGTGGTGTAGCGTTGAAGAGGGTTAGTCAACAACATGTTGCACTGTTTCTTGTTAGTTGTATAGTTTTGCTGATCCAAAAATTAATTTAAAAAAACACGATAAAAAGAGTGTTGGCCACTGGGGAGACCCCGATTCAAAGTCCCACTTGGTCAAAAAGCTTGAGGTGCAACATGGGTCCACTCATTCCATCTCTCAGTCTAACCTTTCTCACAGGGTTGTTGTGAAGATAGTGCAGGTGACTTGTTAAGAGTCTGTGTACTTCCTTGAGCTCCTTGAAGGAAAACCAGGGTATAATTGTACTCAGTCAATAAACATGCACTTAGGAGTAGCTTGGCGAAAGAGGATGACATGGGGGTGGGGAGAGATATCGCACACCCTCTTGTTGGCCTCCCTTAACATGGCTGTTGTTGTTTTATCGGTCCCTTCCTCAGATCTGCTACCAGCTAAGAATGGTGAGGAGCAGACGGTGCAATTCCTCCTGGAGGTGGTGGACATTCTCCTGACGTATGTGAGGAAGACCTTCGACAGGTCCACCAAAGTCCTGGACTTCCACCACCCACACCAGCTCCTGGAGGGCATGGAAGGCTTCAACCTTGAGCTGTCTGACAACCCAGAGTCACTCGAGCAGATCCTGGTGGACTGCAGGGACACACTGAAATACGGAGTCAGGACAGGTGAGAGAATGCCCTGGAGCTCTGTCCAGAAGTGAGGGGTATGTGGGCAAGGGCTTCTGCCAGGCCAGAGTCTGAAGGCACACAAGTTGTGGCACCCTAGCTGAAACCAAGAGCATCTGGGTCTGGCTAGTGCCCAGATGAGAGACCACCGGGGAGCCAAATACCATATTTTTCGCTCCATAAGACACACTTTTTTCCTCCTAAAAAGTAAGGGGAAATGTCTGTGTGTCTTATGGAGTGAATGCATGGTCCCTGGAGCCAAATTGCCCAGGGGCGAAAAGCAGATCATGCCTTTTTTTATTATTAGAAAAAGGGAAGGGGGTGTTGAAACAAAACCGCTGAGCAGCTGATCGGCAAGCGATCGGGAGGGATAAGGGACTCTAGATATAAAGGAGGCTGCCTGGGAGGGAGGAGGTAAAAGCACATGGATCCTCAGGATTTTTGCACTGGGTCACCCCAAAGTCACCATCAGATCACATAGCATGTCCATGGCTATAGCCTGCATCAAAAAATCACGCATCCACTGTTTCGTGGGGCCGCAATGGCATGGCTCCACATGGATTCTCAGGATTTTTGCATTGGGCTACCCCAAACTCACTGTCAAATCACATATCATGTCTGTGGCCACAGCATGAACCACAAAAATCATACATCCACTGTTTTGTTCAGAATATTTTTTTTCTTGTTTTCCTCCTCTAAAAACTATGTGCGTCTTATGGTCAGGTGCGTCTTATGGAGCGAAAAATACGGTATATACCACCTTCAGTTCCATCATGGAAGAAATGCCAAATATAAATGTCAAAAAAGAAAAGAAAAAGAAAAACACTTCTCTTATCCCACATACTTCCAAAAAGGAAAGAAAAAGAGCCTTATGCTCTCATACTGAGTAAACTTAATTTTGATGCCTTTCATCCTGGTTTCCATGAGGCCTATTCCCAAGAAAGATGCTAAAGATTGGGGTGCGAGTTAGCTGGAGAGAGGTGGTCTGGACCAAACAGTTGTTTCTGAACACGTGTGGACTTTGATAAACATGCAGTGGCTGTGATCAGGGTCAGCCCAAGACATTTTGGTCCCTGGGGTAAACCACAAGGGAGAAATAAAGATCTACATCAGGAACAAGGGTGGGAGGAGACCAGCAATGCCTGGTCTATTCTCCAAAAAGCCACCATGGAGGTGGTATTAGGCAGGGGGCTGCCAAGGAGGCAGCAGATCCAACTTCCAATGGGTATACTGGGGCAGTGGGCAGTGCATTCCTTGGAGACTGGATCTGCTGCCCCTGTAGATCTTGCCACCCGAGGCGGTCGCTTCACCTTGCCTCGTAGGTCGGCTGGCCCTGGTTGTGATCCTAGCTGGCACACTTTCCTGAGAGCAATTCCTTCTGAACTCAGAGGGACTGGCTTCTGACAGGAGCACTACAGAGAGAGGAGGAGGGTATAAGGTCGTCCCCCCCCTTATATTTCTGACTACATTATTTTCCAGGAATGTCTATATATCTGGGCATATTATGAAGCATATCAAAAGCAGCAGTGCCAAATGCTTTTAAAATGCGCTGCTTCCCTCCTGCAGCTTAACTTGAATATATGCAAGAAGCAGGCTTTTCAAATTTGTCTGTGAATTTGGCTCCCCACCCCACCGCCCTACCTGTCAGACTAAGGAAACCCGTCCACCATGGCAATACAGCTTCCCTATAGGATCAGACTGCAAGCCTGTGCTTTCCTGTGCATGGGGCCTGAATCTCTCTCTCTCTCTCTCTCTCTCTCTCTCTCTCTCTCTCTCTCTCTCTCACACACACACACACACACACACACACACAGAGCCCTTCCTTTCGAAGTGAATCTTGCCTTGTTGTTTACAGTAGGCAGACTGTTGGCAGTTCCGTTTGTCACTCAGATGGGCATTTTTGTAGTGTTGGGTGTAGACAGCGCAGACAAGCACATTTGAAAAGTCATAATCCCTTTCACTTGATGAAATGCAAGTGGCGTGTATCTCGGGGGAACGATATCATTAGGTAAATGAGGGCATTAATGACACTGAATTTGCAGTTTTTCTTCTTTATGTTCCCAAGACATTTAATGCCAAAAAGCAAAGAAAGGAAAGGGGGAGAATTTGGTTTCTTGGGATCATTAATACCTGGCCGCCCTTCTGATAACTCATCGGGCAAGGGGAGTCTCCGGTTTCCAGGTCTTTTCTGATAAAGGTATCAAATGTAATCTTCCCCCATTCATTTGTGAGTATGGGTTTTTCTCAGGCCAACTTACATGTCATTTTCAAGAAGGGGTGTGTGAGTGTTTTAAATCTCACAGGGGAGCTGTCCAGCAGAGTCAGCAAAGTTTTGCAAGCAAGTTCTGGCGCTGAATAGCAGGTGAACTGGCCAGGAGACCAGTGTGGGGTCATGAAGCAGTTACACCAGCAGCTTCCAGGAAGCAGCTGAGGGTTTCTGTAGTGAGTCAGGCTACCCCACGCTTCTTGGTGAAGCTTTGATCTTAATCATACTTAAGGTGATGCATTCAGAAGAGGGCTGTGCCATTAGATATGAGCTACTTTTTGGACGTGGGTGGCGCTGTGGGTTAAACCACAGAGCCTAGGACTTGCTGATCAGAAGGTCGAATCCCCGCAACGGGGTGAGCTCCCATTGCTCACTCCCTGCTCCTGCCAACCTAGCAGTTCGAAAGCACATCAAAGTGCGAGTAGATAAATAGGTACCACTCCGGCGGGAAGGTAAACGGCATTTCCGTGCGCTGCTCTGGTTCGCCAGAAGCAGCTTTGTCATGCTGGCCACATGACCCAGAAGCTGTACGCCGGCTCTCTCGGCCAATAAAGCGAGATGAGCGCCGCAACCCCAAAGTTGGTCACAACTGGACCTAATGGACAGGGGTCCCTTTACCTTTACCTTACTGTTTGGACTCGTTTTCATTTTTGTTTCTGATGTCCCAATGATAAGCACAAAGAAGCTAGAGTTGGGAGAATGAGTCCAGTTTGGGTGCATTATGAAAGAACTCTGGCTGGAGTGTAATCTCAGGGGTTCCCTTGGGGTGCCCTGACCCCTTTACAGCCTGGCTCAGGTAGAGGCTGGCTTGCAGTTAGTCTGGGCATCAACTTTTAATTTATTTTTAAAAGCCAGTTGTTCAAAGTTCTTCCTTGGGAATCTTGTTCAGGAAAGAATGGGGCAAAATGATGTTCCTATGCCCTGAACTTAGCCTGAGTAGATTGTCCTATGCACTTTTACAACTCTTTATAAAGAGCAGTGGAGCAAGGAAACAAAAGTAATTTTTGAGCTGGAAGCTACTTTTTATCACAGAGTAGGTGTTGGAAAAGGGGCAACAGCCACCATACTCTGCTCCAGTATTTATTACTTTTTTAATTTATAACCGGCTTTCTTCCATCATGGAACCTGCGGTGGTATATACGTGGTTCTCGGGAGGTCTATTCAAGTAATAAGCAGACCCAGACCTGGTCTGGTGAGATGGCAGTAGTCTCATGTGCCTTGTCCTAGATATTATGACATATGGGGACACAGTGCAATGACAGCAGAGCATGCCAGAATCCCTAGGCTGAAATCAGCCAACACATATGATGCTACTCAGCACTGAAACAGAACATCACATGAGGCAGCTCTCCCACCTGTCATTTTGAAGGATTTACCAGCTCCCATTGGATCAAATAATATTTGATAGTTGGGAGCTAAAATGGGTAGGTAATACAGTGCAGCGCATCATGGTGGACCTATTCATCGCCTTACATTGCTGCTATGGCTAGATTGGTATTGCACACTCTCCATGCTGTTACTCCTTTAAGACCTGGGTATTCGCAGCTGAGCAGTTACCGGATGTCATATAGCTTCATACTGCATTCTGTATGAATACACATAAATCCCAGAAGGATGGTTACCCAAACTTTACTTGACTACCTTCATGAAAGAACATCCCACAGTCTCCCTCCATGGCTTGTCCCCATTGCAGATGGAAAGTATTTCCTAATATTTAAGTTAAAATCAATACTTCCATAATTTAAAATCATGAGTTATTGTCTTTTCTGTCATGGGAGAGATCAAGGAGAGATCAGGGACCTTTAAAAACAATACTACGTGGTCCACTGCTTTCACCAACACATGTTTACTCAGAATTAATATGCACTGTATTCAATGGGGCTTAACTCCTAGGGAAGAGTACGTAAAGTTGCAGCCTTTACAATTATTTAATGCAGGGAGTGCTAACTTGTGTGGCCTTTCATATGCTGTTGAGCAACAGGCAGGGGTTATGGGAGTTGTAGTCCAAGAACATAGGGAGGGCCACATGTTCAAATGGAAAAGTTGTTTTGTCTCAGATACTGAAACGAGTTTTCCGTCACACACAACAGTTCTGTACGGCAAGGTTCCTAGAATACTTTAACTCACAGCAAGCACTCGTACCTGCAGGACAGATTAGTTGTGACTGACTGAGTCCAGTTGGTTGCAGTGGAAGTGATGTGCAGTGCTATTTTTCTAGAAAAAGAGGTGCCAGAACTCACCACAAACACCTCCCTTGTTCTCTTATAATGGCAATGGTGCACACCTGAGAGGTGCTGGAACTGAGTTCTGGTAAATTCTGGCTGAAAAATGCCCTGGTTCTGTGTGACTAACTTTAGTTGGATTGGGACCTTGTGCTTTGCTTTCATAACAGGTTGTTGAAAAGACAACTGTTGTGTTTCTATAAGTGCCAGTCAGACATGCCTACCATCCTCAGTTCAAAGGTCATATTTAAAGTCAGGTGACCCAGGCGATCAGATTTGTGGGGAGGAGAGTGCTGGGTTCAGGGCATGCCTGACACTAGTTTTCTACTTTCATGTTTTCTTTTTTGCCATCATGGTGCAACACCATTTGGATTTTCAACCTTGGGCATCAAATCATCTTGGACTAAGAGCTAGTGTGGTGTAGTGGTTAAGAGCGGTAGACTCGTAATCTGGGGAACCGGGTTCGCATCTCCGCTCCTCCACATGCAGCTGCTGGGTGACCTTGGGCTACTCACACTTCTTTGAAGTCTCTCAGTCCCACTCACCTCACAGAGTGTTTGTTGTGGGGGAGGAAGGGAAAGGAGAATGTTAGCTGCTTTGAGACTCCTTCGGGTAGTGATAAAGCGGGATATCAAATTCAAACTCTTCTTCTTCTTCTCTTCTTCTACCTCATGTTGATTTCCTTGGAGTAAACATTATGTCTTGCTAGTTGAATCCAGTTGTTCTTTTTTTGTTTTAATCACAGTATGAAGGATTTAATTTTGCAATACTTACAGAATGAACAGGTTTGGGTTAAGTCTTGCTAGTAGGGAGGGATGATGTGGCCGCTGAATACCTGTTTTCACTGAAGTCATGAAAAAATAGTTCAGTGATTAGATTTAGATTTTTCTAGGGCCTTTTGAGTGTGTGCATCAAACCTTAATGTGAGTCCTAATATGATCTGACAGTGTTCTTCTCTGCTACTGGGCACCAGGCAGCTTTATGAACTTGTGTCAGAACAAGCCATTAGGTTGTCAGCATGGTTTTGCATGAAATACGTTTTCTGAATTACCGTCTGTCTCTCACTCTCAAAACCGATACTTTTTAAAAGCTAATTTTCTTTCTGAAGGTCACTTGAATAAAGCTCATTGGTTGAAAATAGGAAACAAAAGATACTCCTTAAATTGTGGGTCAGGATCCTCTTTGCTTCCATGATCTGGCTATAAGAAAGGGGTTGGCTATCTTTTAATCAGCTGCTAAATAAATATGCAATCAGCCATCCTGAATGGAAGGTCTCAAAATTATGTTTTCCTAATAGGACGCTAGAGGAAGGGATGCTGTGACAGGTGTCTGCTATATTTTTTAATTCGTTAGTAATAATAGAAGATATACAATAATTAAAATATTTATAGAACTGCAGTCAAAATATAAAATGAGGCATCCCAGAGCTGCTTCTACCTCTTTGTCATTCATTGCCTGTAGGGCTACAAATGCAACCCTATGCATGTCTACTTGGAAGTAAGTGTCATTGAATATAATGGTGCTTATTCCAAGATTAGTGGGTATGGGATTTAAAGAAGAGCAGAGGTAAAGAAATAATTACTATACAATAAGCAACCTGACCCACAGATCCATCCCTATTTATTGAGACTTAATTTTAATGCATATAAATCAAATGCTGGTGCATTCTAGATTAACACACTTCTCTGAAAAGGAGTAGATGAATGCATGGAGTTAACTATTGCATTTCCCATTTCCCACCTACCTAAATTATAAACATGTTTCCTTATTGTAACTAGCAATAACAAACAGTAGCATTTCTAGTTTGAAGGCATAAATTTATGCAACACATATTGCAAAATCATTTTTCGGGGGCTACTGATAAAAGAATGTGAAACCTCAGAGAACCAGAAGCAATGCAGTTGCATAGATAATATGCATGTCTCCTTTAGATGGTGTCATTTGTTTTTCTAGGTCACCCTCGCTTTTTCAACCAGCTCTCTACAGGGCTTGATATCATTGGCTTAGCTGGAGAATGGCTGACGTCTACTGCTAATACAAACATGTAAGTACCTTAGGACTTTTCTCTCTGCTGTATGGTGAGAAGGCAAAGTCCTGTACAGTTCCCATCATCCCTGACCATGTTCTGTGGGCTGGGGCCGATGGGAATTGAAGTCCAGCAAATGTAGAGGGCACAACACTTAGTTATCCTTGGGATAGAGCAGGGGTAGGCAACCTAAGGCCCGGGAGCTGGATGCGGCCCAATTGCCTTCTCAATCCGGCCCACGGACGGTCCAGAAATCAGTGTGTTTTTACATGAGTAGAATGTGTCCTTTTATTTAAAATGCATCTCTGGGTTATTTGTGGGGCATAGGAATTCGTTTATCTCCCCCCCCCATATAGTCCAGGCCACCACATGGTCTGAGGGATGCTGGACCTGCCCATGGCTGAAAAAGGTTGGTGACTTCTGGGATAGAGCATTATTTCAGTGTGCTAAAAACAAAGACAGATGAATTGGTTAGACTGTCTCTGTTTATTTTTTTCTCCTCTTGGGTTTGGACAAGGATATTTAAGGCTGTGTGTATGGGTATGTAGATAGAGAGCCAGTGTGCTGTAGTGGTTAATAGCGATAGACTCATAATCTGGTGAACCGGGTTCGCGTCTCCGCTCCTCCGCATGCAGCTGCTGGGTGACCTTGGGCCAGTCACACTTCTTTGAAGTCTCTCAGCCCCACTCACCTCACAGAGTGTTTGTTGTGGGGGAGTAAGGGAAAGGAGAATGTTAGCCGCTTTGAGACTCCTTCGGGTAGTGATAAAGCAGGATATCAAATCCAAACTCTTCTTCTTAATTAGGGATTTAACTTCTGTGATACTGTGGCACCTAGACCATATCAAGAAAATTAAGGGACTTGTGGAGTCATGCTGTTCTATGACATGGGCGTAGCTAGGATTTTTGTTAGGGGAGCAGGACTTTTGGGGGGGCAGAACCAACGTGATTGGTCAGTTAGTTAAGTATTTCTATTGTTTTACTTGATGTAGGGGAGGCATCTGCCCTACCCCCACCCCGGCTACACCCATGTTCTATGGTGTGGCTAAATCTATGGGAGGTTGGCAGGTGGAGGGATGGAAACAGGTAGCAGAGTTAAATATCCACAATAAATAGTTCTAGAAATTCATTGGGTGCATCATCTATTTATCTTCACAACAAATGGATAGGAGGGTGAAACTGCTTGCTGTGCACACATTAGGAAAAGTAGCGTAAGCATTCCAGCTGCTGCTGCTGCTAACCCTCATCTTGGGAGATAATCAGGGAAAAGCTGATCCATCTTCTCCACTTTTAGAAATTTCTCCTGGTTCCTTTGATAGGTTCATTTCACATATTCTGAATGAGAAATTAAACTAATACACAACCTAGGCATATTAACATTTATCTGAACCTGGCTCAAGGTTTACCTCTGTCTGTCTTTGAAGTTGTCCTGAGTATATTCAATGTTGTTGCGGGGTGGTTAAGATTTCTTTTTGGAATTCCCCTGTTCGAAGTCTTGGAATTAGAAGGCATGCTGGCTACAAACCTGAAACTAGTTGTTTGTTTGTTTGTTTGTTTGTTTGTTTGTTTGTTTGTTTTAAAGATAACCAGAATATCTGGAGGAGTCACACTTTCATATTTTCTGTATTAAAAGGAGGGCTAAAGTTGAGTTACAATCAAAGCCTTCCACTGGAATTGATGTATAAAAACAAAATGTGCTCAGAAGGTGAGGAGAGACCAGAACTAGATTTTAAGGTTATTATTTAATCACCCGTAGAAGCAGTTGGTAAGACGCTCTTCATTGATGCAGAATGGATTAAGAACCAGAAAGTGGAGTGATAACATACTCAGCTGAATTATTAGTCTTCGTGTTATGCTTTAACATAGTGCAAAGAAGGACTTTCAGTAGCAGAGGAGAAAATTACAACTGTAGCTAGCGTTAGATTCCATCATTTTATGAAATGCAATTATCTTTATTGATACGGAGGTTGCGGGGGGAAAAGTTAAAATGAAGTTCAAGGTGATTGTTGGTATCAGTCCCCGAGACCCACTGAAAGGGATGGAAAGCGGGTGTGAGACACGCCTGGAGGCAGTTTGAAATTGTGTATTGATTTGCATGGGCTTTAGAAAGTGCGACATGAGAGGACTCCAAATACTCATCAGCGATCAAAAGGCAGGTTTCTATTTCAGACCGCTGTTAGATGTGTGCAGTGATGACTACATGCACAAGCAGCTGAAAAATCTCACCAGATGGAAAAGCAAGTTCATTTTGGGCAAAATGACAACGCATGAAGGAGCTTTTCCTGCAAATGGAAAAGCGAACTTTCTGTCACTTGCACCATCCACTGATAATGCTCTGTTGGTTTCAATGGGAGAATTAAACATCTGTCGCTCCTTGCTTGTTTGTTATATACTGCCCAATAACAAATAATCTCTCAGCAATTTACAAGTAAAAAAAATAAATCAACATGCATAATAAACACAAACTCCAACAACAAAATAAAACCAGGGTAAAATCAGCAGCAGAACATGGTGTCTATACAATGGCTCTACAAAGCTCTGGAATGTTTTCAAATGGAAATACCTAGTGTGAAAAGGACAATAAAGACATTTCCAGGCAAACCTATCCAAGGAAGGGCTTTCCACAACCAGAGAGCCACCACAGAGAAGGTCCTCTCTCTCATAGCCACCTGCCCCCCCCCCCCCCATTTGGTGAAAGCACCCAGAGAACAGCCACAAAAAACAATATTGAGGTCTAGAGAGGCGTATCTCCTTCAAGCAATCTTGCCCCGGGCCAGTTTTGGCCATGCGAGCACTTTGAAGTAGGCCTGGAAATGGACTAGAAGCCACTGCAGACATCAAAATACTGGTCTAATACTTTGGTGTAGTCTCACATGCAATGCATTGCAATGATCCAAACTAGAGAATGCCAGAACATGGATAACGGTAGCAAGGCTATTTTTGTCTGGAGTGGTTCCTACTAATTTATCTGCCTAACCTGATGAGAAATGCTCCAAGCCACAGAGGCTACCTATGACTCTACGAAGAGCTGGATCAAATATAGGGCTGCCATACGTCCAGATTTTCCTGGACATTACCAGGATTTCAAAGACAGAATTGACACCCGGGGAAATTTCCGAAAGGCGGCACTTTGTCCTGGATCTTAGACGAGTCAATTGAAAAATCATGTGGTGTTGTTTTGGTGTTTTTGTAAAAAGAAGCTCAACAACTTTGGGGGTGTCCTGGTTTTTACTTTTAGAAATATGGCAACCCTAAAAGGAGTCCGTACCCTATATGAACCTGGAAGTGCAACGTCTACAAAACAGATTGAACACTACTCAGTTGTGCAATGGAACTCACTCTCCCTCGCCTGGGTTGAATCTCAGCTTATTGGTACTGATTCATAATACCCATTGTTTCACCTACATTTGTTCAGAAGGAGTGAAAGAACTGGGTGTCATCCACATATTGGTGACAACCCAGATCACTTGACTTATAAAGGTAGAGGGTAAATGACCCCCTGGATGGTGAAGTCCAGTCAAAGGTGACTATGGGGTGTGGCGCTCATCTCACTTCAGGCTGAGGGAGACGATGTTTGTCCACAGACAGCTTTCTGGGTCATGTGGCCAGCATGACTAAACCACTACTAGCGCACAGAAATGCTGTTTACCTTTCCGCCGCAGTGGTACCTGTTTATCTACTTGCACTGCCATGCTTTTGAATGGCTAGGTTGGCAGGAACTGGGACAGAGCAATGGGAGCTTACCCTGTCATGTGGATTTGAACCATCGGCTTTCCGAACGGCAAGCCCAAGAGACTCAGTGGTTTAGACCACAGCACCACCCGCGTCCCTTGTTAGCTAGATGCAGTACAATATAGACTTCAGCTGGAAGTTGCTGGAACTCAGTTCTGGCACCTCTCAGGTGTGCGCCATTGCCAGAGCCGGCGTATATCTTCCGGGTCATGTGGCCAGCATGACTAAGCCGCTTCTGGTGAACCAGAGCAGCGCACGGAAACGCTGTTTACCTTCCCGCCGGAGCGGTACCTATTTATCTACTTGCACTTTGACGTGCTTTCAAACTGCTAGGTTGGCAGGAGCAGGGACCGAACAATGGGAGCTCACCCCGTCGCGGGGATTCGAACCGCCGAACTTCTGATCGGCAAGTCCTAGGCTCAGTGGCTTCACTGTAAGTAGTTTGCACCAAAATAAAGCCTGTAAAACGCAGGTTGGAGTCCTGCCTGGTTACTCTCAATCAACCGCAACAGCCACCTGACAATAACAGAGGCTTTTTGGGAAATCACTGTAGTGTGTAGTTTGAAGATCAGGAGATACTCAAATATTCATTACAGATACTCATGCTCTAATCCAAAATGCACTGAAGCCAATGGAAGAACTCCCACTGCCTTCAGCAGACCTTGGTATAGACTCCCAAATTAATGACTCAAGCTGTGTAGCTGTCTTTTTCTGAGCCCCAGCTGGCTGATGAATGTACACACAGCCTATGAATGTACCATCCCTGGAAAATTTCACATCTTGGATGTTGTACAGGTGAAGATTGCTTGACTTATTTTGATCAGAACCCACAAACTATGTAGGATAGCATACCTAGCACATCAGCTACCTAAGGTAGTTTATGGATTGCCATCTTCTCATCAATTTATTATATACAAATTCCAAACTTTTTGTCTCTCACGCTGATGGTACTTAAAGTCTATGCGATGTCCTTGACACAAAATACCTGAAGGGAAGAAGAAAATGCATCTAATAGTAACCTAAGTTTAGTAAGGCTTTGTACAAGGAATTCCCTGATGGAAGGACGTTGGATCCTCAGCACCAGACCCTTGGCTCGTGTTTCCTTGGAATACGTATTGACAATATCAGCCAAAGAAATCCATTTAAAAGTCCTTCAGTGCATTAGTTAAACAAATTATTGCTTTTAGAATGCAACTGTTCACAAGACCCCAGAAACATTCTCGACTCATTATGAAGACCGTGGGTATTCCAAAGACTTGGTCACGTCCAAGCCGAACAGAAACAACACACTCTGTGAAGGATACTTTTGAAAAGTGTTGAGATATTTTAGCTGGTACAGCATGATGCAGTTGACCAGAACCCATGTTTGGAATAACTTGTCCATGTTGGCCAGTGGTCTCATGAAATAGGGTCTTCTTGGTGGTAGCACCTTGTCAGCAGAGCTCACTAGCCCAGGCAGTTCACTTAGTTTCCTCCCTGCTGATTTTCAGATGCTAAAACAAAACTATACTCTCTCTCTCTCTCTCTCTCTCTCTCTCTCTCTCTCTCTCCTGTTTGTTTCATGTTACCCACGGCTTCTATGCTCTTTTATCTGCTGTCATTTTACTTTGCTCTTTATTTATATGCTGTTTCTTATTGTTTCATTGTATCAGTTATAATTGTGGTCTGTGCTGGAGGTCCTATGTGTACAGGGGGAAAGGCAGGGTATAAATATGTTGATTAATTGATTAATGGTAAGATATTAAAACAGGCACACCATGGGAATTACTCTGTATATGCGCAGCATTTTCCGAAACATGGAAAAGTGCTAATTATTTATCTCTCTTTCCCCTTTGCTTCCCTTATGAGTGCATAAAATTGGTGAGGGGTCCCTGTTGCCTGACCATATATGCGAAACAAGATATACTAATAGGTACATGTAGTATACAGACACTCTTGATTGATTGATTGATTGATTGATTGAATGCCAACTTCCTTGCATGCTTGCTTGTATCTATATCTCACCTTTGTTCCAAGGAGCTGTCTCCATATTATCCTCACAATAACCCTGTGATGTAGGAAAGGCCAATTGTTGGTGGCTGACCCAAGGGATCTACGTAGCTTCATGACTGAGTGAGGATTTGAACCCTGGTCTCCCAGTCTGATACCTGAACCACTATGCCATCTTGGCACCACATTCATTTTGAAACGTATGAAGCCAGCTTCAGTGTAGCAGGATTGGGTTTTTTTTACAGGGGGACAAGCCGGGCAAAGTTACTCATGCCCTACATGTACGCTTGGGAAACATGGACCACTTATAAATGCTATCTCCAACTCCTTGAAAGATTCCATCAACAGTGTCTCTGAAAAAATGTACACATCACTTGGGAAGACAGGCGAACTAATTCCAGTGTACTGGAAGAAGCAAAGATCACCAGCGTCAAAGCAATGATTCTTCAACATCACTTTCGTTGGACTGGTCATGTTGTTTGGATGCCTGATTATCCTCTTCCAAAGCAACTACGTACTCTATTTCGAACTTAAAAATGGAAAGCGTAATGTTGGTGGTCAACAAAAGAGGTTTAAAGACTCTCTCAAGGCAAATCTAAAAGAACGTATAAACACCAACAACTGGGAATCACTGGCCTGTGAGCACTCCAATTGGAGAACGGCCTTTACCAAAAATGTCATGGAGTTTGAAGACACTCAAACTCAGGATAAAAGGGAGAAACAAGCTAAGAAGAAGGCATGTTTGGCAAACCCTCACCTTGATCAACTCCCGCCTGGAAACCTATGTCCCCACTGTGGAAGGATGTGTGGATCCAGAATTGGCCTCCACAGTCACTTATGGACTTGCTGTTAAGACTGTGTTCATGGAAGACAATTAACTCGGTTACGAGTGCTCGACAAAGAAGGAGGAGGAAACATGGGATGCCATGTTAGTTAGCTGTTGGGCACAAATCGCTGCAGCTGATGCGATTGGGCTACAAGAAAATTTGCAGTTATCTATCTGGTCTTAACCACTGCAGTAGAAAAATTTTATTGTGGCAGTTAGCTATAATTCTCTTTGGGTTTATTTCCTTTATTGTGGAGGAGTGAAGAGTTTTGCCTGGAACTTTAATGAAGGAACAACTTCCTGTTTGATGCGAATAGTAATTTTGCTTTAGACTTTTATTTGTCCTGAAATAGAAGAATAGAACATGCTTTGAAATTTTAGTACACGGGGCAGAAATACATTAATTGGAACATGCAGTGATTCTTGCTTCCCATTAAATGGATAAAGCCATGGACTGCTCTCTTGTTATCTGTAATTGGTAATTAGAAAATCATCCTTTTTAATTACTCTTGACAGGTATTGATTGTGTGGTATGGTATAATTAGTTGTCCTTGGGGAGTATATGCAGAATAAATCCACACAAATAATTGGTTTTGGTGTTTCTTAAAGCTCAAGTTCAATATTTCTAATTATCTTTGTGAGAAGCCTTCTGATGTTTACTGTTTTCACAGCCTCTCTCTGCGTTCTGGCTACATGTTTTCCAAATAGGAATAAGACACTCTTTGAACTAAAACACTTTGCAGCCTCACCAGCAATATAGTTATAATCGCTAAAGCTAAGTGGTATAATCACCAAATGCTACGGCCACTGTAATTTTTAAAAGTTTGGAAAACAAATTAAAGGATATTTGTGGGGGCAGGGGGTGTTCAAGGAACTTAGATAAAGTTCAATTTAATAAATTAGATAAATTGACTTTTGTAAATTTTTGTTTATAGAAGTCATGGAATCATAGAGGATATAAAAAAAATTGCTAAACAGAGAAGTCCCAATCCATAATGCACTGTGCTGGACAGAGGTTGGATGGGGTGCAGGTAATCCTCTGTCCATCCCTTCCTGGACCCACCAGCTTCTGTCAGTGAAGGACCCCTGCCCCATTGCACCCTCTGAAGTGGCTGGTGGGCAGAAGCTTCTGCTTGCAGCATCCTTAGTAGTGATAGCCAGCACAAATCCCCCAAAATAGGGTTCAGAGCTGAATTGGCAGAGGATCCACTGAATTTCTTTCTTTCTTTCTTTTTTAAACGTTTATTAATTTTCCAATAAGAACATCCAATTAACATATCATATCAAATCAAATCCAATAAAAATAAAAAAATAAAATAAAAAAGTCCAATTGTCTTCCAAATTGTAATCTTGATTTTTTTGACTTCCCACGGTCTGAATTCCAAAGCATTTTCCACATCATCATAGTCCTGCCTCTTGTCGTCGGTGTTTTCATAATTCCACATCACGATTTTAGGATCCACTGAATTTCTGAGTGTCATGTGACGGCAAATTTTAAGGTTCTTTGCTATGCTAGCGTAAGATGTGGTGTATTCAAGAGGCTCCCCCACCCCACTTCCCTCAAGGCCCTTGTGAGCAGCAGGGATGATATGGTTGCGTTGTTCTTTCAAGCCCCAGGGATTTGAATTGCCCCTTAAGTTTTATTTTTATTTTTCTAATTATGTTTATATTGCACCTTCCCTTAAAGGAGCTCAAGTTGGCAAACATGCAGTCCCACCCCCACTGTGCCTCTTTTTATCTTCACAACAATCCTTATATACCCAAAACCATGTCAGATACTCAGATGACTCCGGGATAACTATACAGTGGCACCTCGGGTTAAGTACTTAATTTGTTCCGGAGGTCTGTTCTTAACCTGAAACTGTTCTTAACCTGAAGCACCACTTTAGCTAATGGGGCCTCCCACTGCTGCCGTGCTGCCGCCGCTCGATTTCTGTTCTCATCCTGAAGCAAAGTTCTTAACCCAAGGTACTATTTCTGGGTTAGCGGAGTCTGTAACCTGAAGCGTATGTAACCTGAAGCGTATGTAACCCGCGGTACCACTGTAGTCAATGAAGTTGTCTCACAAAAGAAACTGCCAAGAGCCAGTGCAGAACAGAGTGTGAACACAATTGTTTACTTTGTTGTGCAAAGGGTGGCAGATCTATCCCAGTGGCCTCTTGTATTTTTAAAGCTGAAATTGCATCCCAGATTCTTTTTGGAGTACCTACTTGGTTTCCATATTTTAAATCTCCCTCTAGGACAACTTCAGTCCTACTTTCTTCGATTTGTATTTGGCAAGCCTAGACGCACTGCTGCTCTTCATTTGAAAGCTATTCTGCCTGGTTTGGATATAGTCAGTTCACTCTCTCAGCTTCATAGCTTTCTCCCAGCTCTTTTGTATTCCAGGTCATGACAGACTCTTGTCAGTCTGCCTGGATGAAGGAACTGCTGCCAAAAATGAAAAGGTTGCTTCGGTGTGGCTGTCTCCTTCTTACTGTTTATGTGTAAACTGTGAGCAAGACAAATGTATGGTCAAACGCAGATTAATTGATATTTATTTATCTGTTTATTAAATTTCTGTGCCATCCTTCATCCAAGGATCATCAGGCAGTTTACAATACAGTGGTACCTCGGGTTACATACACTTCAGGTTACATATGCTTCAGGTTACAGACTCCGCTAACCCAGAAATAGTGCTTCAGGTTAAGAACTTTGCTTCAGGATGAGAACAGAAATCGTGCTCCAGCAGTGCGACAGCAGCAGGAGGCCCCATTAGCTAAAGTGGTGCTTCAGGTTAAGAACAGTTTCAGGTTAAGTACGGACCTCCGGAACGAATTAAGTACTTAACCCGAGGTACCACTGTATAAAAACACAAAAAATACACAGCATAGTGATAAACAAACACCAACAACCCCCCTACCCTACAATTTAAAGTGCCATAGATTGTTTAAATCATGGGAGAACATACAAGTGTTGTATTTTGTAACCCAGGGGCCTTGTCCCCTCCCCTGGTCACTACATTTGCCAGTTTCCATTTCTAAGATTGGGGCCTCTGTTTAAACCTACTATTTGTTCCTTACTGTAGGAAAGCTCCCCCACCCGCCCCGGACTGCTTTAAAGCCTGAGCCTCAAAACTTGTAGAGGGCAGATGAAACAAAGCTCCAGTAAATAGCAGGTGCTGCCTTTGTAATAAAAAAGAAGTGGAGTCAGTGTTGCACGTTCTTTTCAAATGTGGCTTTTATCAGGGGCCAAGGGAAACTCTGATATACCCCATTACACAGTTCTTTCCAGGACAATCTTTAGATCATGGGTAGGCAAACTAAGGCCCGGGGGCCAGATCCGGCCCAATCGCCTTCCAAATCTGGCCTGCGGACGGTCCAGGAATCAGCGTGTTTTTACATGAGTAGAATGTGTGCTTTTATTTAAAATGCACCTTTGGGTTATTTGTGGGGCATAGGAATTCGTTCATTCCCCCCCCCCCCTGAAAAAAATATATAGTCCGGCCCACCACAAGGTCTGAGGGACAGTGGACCGGCCCCCTGATGAAAAGCTTTGCTGACCCCTGCTTTTGCAGGAATAAATCCCAGAGTTTCTTTTTTTTCAAATTTTAAAAAAGAAAACATATTTTTTTAATATACACATATACATATACAGTGGTACCTCAGGTTACATATGCTTCAGGTTACATACGCTTCAGGTTAGAGACTCCGCTAACCCAGAAATAGTACCTTGGGTTAAGAGCTTTGGTTCAGGATGAGAACAGAAATTGTGCTCTGGTGGCGCGGCGGCAGCAGGAGGCCCCATTAGCTAAAGTGGTGCTTCAGGTTAAGAACAGTTTCAGGTTAAGTACGGACCTCCGGAACGAATTAAGTACTTAACCCGAGGTACCACTGTAAATGCTGGAGTTATGAACATGCATATAGGGATAGCCCTTCTGCAACTTACAAAGTACTTAACCCGAGGTACCACTGTACACACAGAAATATACACTTAATTTCACAAAACCATAGTCATATCAAAACCTTTATGGGGTTCCCTTCACCCCAGGACTTCCTCCCACCCCTCCCTTGGATTCCAAAGTACTTCCCCTTTTAACTGCCTCTAATTATCTAAATTTGTTATACTCCATTTTTATCTTTGTTAATTTAAATTACAAGTGTTATGTGAATCCTGCTAATGTTTTTAAGCTCTTACAGAGTTTCAATGTCCCAGTATTCATGCTTGTTTTGTCAACCAGGATTCTCCTCCCATTTCTTGAATGTTTTAAACAACAGACTGTTGTTAACTGAAAGTGCGGTCCTGTACATGTCTACCTGTAAGTAGACATATACACTCAATTTATTAAGTGGGCATAGGATTGTAGGCTGAGTCCCATAAAGGTTGTAAAAGCAATAGTATCTTTTCAGAAAGCATAAACATTTTCATATTCATTCCTGTGAAACAGGTATTGGCATTTTATTTTATTTTATTTTTTTCAAATGTCTATTCACGTACCCAGGTTTACATACGAAATTGCACCTGTTTTTGTCCTCATGGAACAAATCACGCTTCGAAAAATGAGAGAGATTATCGGATGGTCAAATAAAGATGGAGATGGAATATTCTCACCGGGTAAGTTTCATTTTTGACATGTTGCCCTAAATGCCAAGTTGTCGGTTAAGGCTGGAAAAAGACAACTAGCTGCTGAGCATGTATGCTTTTAACTGTATGCTGGACCTAATGGTCAGGGGTCCATTTACCTTTATTACTGTTATGTACTGAAGTTCTCACCCTGGGCCAGCAGGGGGATACTGTAGATAGTTCAGGTCCACATATGCAAATAAGGGATCGAAAGTGACGTTCAGTGATTGGATAGTTACAGAAAATGGTTCCTGTTGCGTTGTAGTGGAGCTCTGTATAAGCAGGCTGGCTGAACCCTTCAGTTCAGTTCTGTTCTGGCCTGTGAATAAACAAGAGCTGTTTGAGGAATCGCTGTGTCGTCTGATATGTTCACCCACAACTTAACAATTACTTTGTTTAAAAACAGCATTAAAAGCATCAGTTACTATCTGCTAGGCCATTTTAAGAGGATCAATTAAAAACAACAATTGGTCCTACCATTGGGCAGAGTGAGGCAGCAGGCTAACTTAGGGGGTCGAGGGAAGACCACAAACAACTCTGTTGCATCACAGCTCTAAATTCCGCCATGCCTGTATGAAATGTACACAACACATTTCACCAGCTATGCTTTTCTGCCTCCATTCGCAATACCAAACTTTTCCCGCCCTCCCTCTTATCTCTTTTCTAACATTCTATTATTATGTTCTCTTGTTACAGGTGGTGCTATATCCAACATGTATAGCATCATGGCTGCCCGCTACAAATATTTCCCAGAAGTCAAAACCAAAGGCATGTCTGCAGTGCCTAAACTGGTCCTCTTTACCTCAGAACATGTGAGCTCAACAAGCTTAATTAACTGTTGTTACTGCAATTGTTGGGGAGGGGGGCTAAGGAAGATGCCATTCCATCACCATCAGCCCAATTCTGAAGGGGTACGACTGCCTGATTTCAACATCACCCATTGCATATTTTGGGGTGGTCCTAAAACTGTCACAGAAAATGACCTCCAACTACTTAGATGGAGGTTCTGTTGAACAGGAGGATGGTTGGTCCTCTGAGGATGCTGTTGTTTAGAGTTGGTTCTAGCCACCATCTCTGTCACTAAGCTCACTTTGGAGGCAGTATGCCTGGCATGGCTGCCACACGGAAGTGGGTTTTACATTCCCCCCCACCTGCAAATGTCTCATTGTGACAAAACCGCTCGCCGCACTCTGACAGAGATTTTCCTCAAACCAGACTGTAGCGCAGTGTTGGGGACAAGGAGGCTGTAAGGAAGACAAAAGATGTCTTATTTACTTGGCAGCATTTGATGTGGTTGCTTGTGATACCTCACGTTACCCACAAAGCTCAGTCACCCCAAATATCTTTTAATTTGTCTTAGAGCATGGGTAGGCAAACTAACGCCCGGGGGCCGGAAGCGACCCAATCGCCTTCTCAATCCGGCCTGCGGACAGTCCAGGAATCAGCATGTTTTTACATGAGTAGAATGTGTCCTTTTATGTAAAATGATTCTCTAGGTTGTTTGTGGAGCACGGGAATACGTTCATTTTTTTCCTTCAGAATATAGTCCGGCCCTCCACAAGGTCTGAGGGACAGTGGACCGGCCCCCTGCTGAAAAAGTTTGCTGACCCCTGTTTAGAGCTTACCATGTCCTCAACTAATTAACACTTCCCCTGCCCCCTTTTGAAGCATTCATAGTAATGTTACATAACGAATAAAGTGCCTGTGCGTGTGTACAAAGTGCCTGTCCGCACAGAATCAAGGAACAGAATCTCCCACCCCACAGATCTGATTCCTGGTATCTACAGTGGTACCTCAGTTTACAAACTTAATCCATTCTGGAAGTCTGTTCTTAAACCGAAACCTTTCTTAAACCAAGGTGCACTTTCCCTAATGAGGCCTCCCGCCACCGGTGCCCTTCCACCGTTCGGCTTCCATTCTTAGACCGAGGTAAAGTTCTCAAACCGGGACACTACTTCTGGTTTTGCGGAGTTTGTAAACCGAATAGTTCGTAAACATGGCTGTTCTTAAACCAAGGTACCACTGTATCTCTCTTTTTAATCTTTAGGCACTGCTCCTACCTTTCTGCATAGCAAGCTGGGGGACCTAGTTGTAATAATATTTTGGGTTGCTTTTTCTCTTCCTTTTTTATTTTATTTTTTGGAATGTTTAGAGCTTATAGCTTGCTGTGGTGCTCCTAAATCATGTCTGACCCTTATTTCAGCACTTATTCCAGACCATTCCCACTGACTTTTACCTCTGCATTCAAACTGCTTCCTATAAATCAGGGGTTGGCAAAGTTTTTGTGGCTTGGGCCGGTTCAGGGTCCCACAGGCGCCGCAGTGGGCCGGAGTGTCTGCACGCACAAGCACACATGCGCAAATATTGTTTCCAGCGCTCCTTCCAACATGGAGGAGGCTTGCGCAGCTTCCCATTGGCTGCAGGAGCTTCCTGCAGCCAATGAGAAGCCAGCCAGCGTCACAGAAGACGGTCTCCGCTCTGCTCCACGCCGGTTTAGTGCATCACATGGGAGCCGACCAAGCAGGCGGCGAGGGTCCATGGGCTGGTTAAACGACCCCCATGGGCCGCTTGTGGCCCATGGGCCCTAGGTTGCCGACTCCTGCTCTAAATGGTTGGTTTGTGCCTGGAAGCAGCTGCCACAGAAAAGTATATAACAGCCTTTTTTTTGTATGTGGCACTTGCAATGAGCGGCTAGGGCATCTCCTGCTGGCAACCGTTGCTACTACACAACTAAACTTGACTTCATTTTCTTTCATTCCTTTCTAAAAGGACTGACGAGTTTTTGTCGCTGTTGTTTTTGCAGAGTCACTACTCAATAAAGAAAGCTGGAGCTGCGCTTGGTTTTGGAACAGAAAATGTGATTTTAATAAAGTGCAACGAAAGGTCTGCTCCCATAGCAAACTAGCTGTATTGAGTTTGTTTGTTTTTTGTACTGTGCAACAAGATGCTAATGTTGTTACTAATTAGATCAGTTTAATTAATTAAACTATGGTTAGTGTTCACTTCTATTTGGTCTTTATTCATTTGTTTAAAAATATTCTTTGTTTTTGTCTTTCACGTTGACTGCAGAGGCAAAATAATACCAGCTGATTTGGAAGCCAAAATTCTGGAAGCCAAACAAAAGGTAACCCTGACGTTTGTTTTTTAGGGGGGAAAACTGAATATATTTCCTAGTTAGATGAACATAAGTAACATACATTTTGTCTTCTACATAAATGCATACCACACAGTGTAAGGCAAGCTAAGGAAGAAATAATAAACTAATTTACAGTGCAATACTAACCCTTTGCTGCTGGAGTTCCACTACCCCCCCAGGCCCCCAGCAAGGGGAGAAACTTATTATCCACTGGTGATTGCAAATGGACTTTTGGGGGAACCAATGAAAGAAGGTGTGACAGTTAAAAAATATGCATGGCAGAAAAGTTAATGAAAGGACTTCTAATCAGTTGCAATAACTGAAGTTAGCTTCGGTTTCCAACATTTTTGTTTCCTCATGAACTTTATCCTCTGTCTTACCTCATAGGGATATGTCCCCCTTTATGTGAATGCAACTGCTGGCACAACAGTTTATGGGGCCTTTGATCCAATTCAGGAGATGGCGGACATTTGCGATAAATACAACCTTTGGCTCCATGTGGACGTGAGTAAGACGAGCTGCAATCCTATGCACACACACACTTGCCAAAGAATAAAATCTCACTGAAAGCAGGAGGACTCACAAATCATGTCCTCACCACGGAGGGCACGTGTTGCAGTGAGACTGGCCTCGCTGTTTGTGTGGGTGGGATCGTTTGGATAGCTACAACAACCCGATTGGGTCCCTCGGTTGCTGGGGCAATTCTGGCCAATGGGTTGCTGGGGCATTTCTGGCTGTTGGGGCAGGGGCCCGGTAGAAATTTTCCCATTCGGCTGATTGGCTGGTGCCACTTGGGTTCCGCCTGCCCCGTAGCAAATCATCACAACTTTGTAAGGTTTGGCGGTTAGGCATTGGTTCAAAGTGTGGTGGAGGGAAGGTTGTCACACCCGCCCCTCCCAATGTGCGATAGGGTATTCTGTTAAAGGAATCCAGGGGCTCGCCATGCTTTTGTCCAATCCCCTTCCAGGATTTCAGGCCACCCCAGAGCACCTGGGAGCATTTTGGGGTGAGGTTGTGTCTGTGGTAGGACCAGTGCTTCCCCCAGTCTGTTTACCTTTACTGACTTCTGTCGGTGCCCAATTATCAGTGCTGCCCCGCCAGAGGTGTAGGTGCAGCTAGTCAAACCAATGCCTAAGCAAACCACTCACATTCTGTAATCAGTAAAGTTGTGGCCAAAATTATGTCCAATAACCTTAAACTAATATTGGTGTCGACTGTGTCTTTCTTTGAGAGGTCTTGGGGGTCTTTACATGCAACACTTCTGAATAAACACACATTCAGGATTGCACTGCGAATATTGGTTTTTTTACCATTTTCAAGTGGAAAAGAGGATCCTCCTAGCAACTCTGCTTGTTAGTGTTTGTATTGTAGTAACACGCGGCCACTTCTTGTGTGAAAGTGCAAAATTAAGAAGAGCGCCTGTTTGCGAAATCATGAACGTTTTCATCAGAAATTTAGTGCCCAGAGTTTTGACAGTATTGATCCTTTTGCTAACTGTGGAGTGTCAGATACTTGAAGGTTCCTCCTAAGCCTTTGAACTTTCTTCCATCACTTTCAGGCTGCCTGGGGCGGAGGATTGCTAATGTCCAGGAAGCATCGTCATAAGCTGAGTGGCATAGAAAGGTATTGAATCATTCTCATTTGCATGTTTATTTAGTTAGAAACTTCTCCATGGTACATATGCCATTTTGCAAAGACCTAGAGAAGATAAACCCCTATCTCAAAAATATTATGGAATTTTTAAAAAGAGCAATTGACAAGAATATAAAAGGTCCAATGTGAGGGGGGAATATTCCATGTGTCCATGTAGAACAGAAGCAGTTTTATGCAAAATAGAATTTTCATGTCAGTGTAAGTTTCACATTTACATTACATACCAGAATGAAACAAGAGAGACTTCGTGCCTGTCTTGCCAAATGCAAGGTGGTTCTTTTAACATGAGAGTCAGAAGTAATACAAAACACAAGTGAGTGAGAAGATTAAAGATTTTATTCAAAACAGCAAGCGATATATACATACCAAGCAAGCACTTCCATCTGCCACTTGGAAGCTCTCAAGAAGCGGCAAAGTGACTCCCCCAGGTAGCCTCAGTTTGCAGGGCCCTGCGGCCGATCAGTCTGTGCACGAGCTTCTCCAAAACTCTGTCCACAACCATCCGATTCACCTCATGAGGAGAAAAGACTCCCTGGAAAAGACCCTGATGTTGGGAAAGATTGAGGGCACAAGGAGAAGGGGATGGCAGAGGACGAGATGGTTGGACAGTGTTCTCAAAGCTACTAACAAGGGTTTGACCAAACTGGGAGAGGAGGTGGAAGACAGAAGTGCTTGGCGTGCTCTGGTCCATGGGGTCATGAAGAGTCGGACGTGACTAAAAGACTAAACAACAACAAGCCTGTGTGGCTTGCCCGACTGGCTACGCAGATCGTTCATTACTGGCTATTTGCAGATTATTCATTAGCCACCTCCTCCCAATGCCTCACTTTCTCAAAACAATGTTCAGCATCAAAGAAGGTACCTAGCACTATCGCTTCCTCCCAACTGATTAGGACATTAAAGGCTGTTCTCATGCCATCAAATAACTTAACAAGAGATAAGAAGGGGAAGGAACAGAGGCAAGTAGGGCAACCATGTTAGATCACTAACTCCTCGATATACAATTTATCTTCCAGATAGATTGCCCATACAATGTCTCATGAGTGAGATGCTTTGGGACAAAAATTAGCAAGACCTTTTGTCTGCATCAGCTGTTAGCTTTGTGTCACTTCACAGTCACACTCTCTGTGAACTGCGCTCAGCTTGTGGCCTACTTTCCACCCTGGTCAAGGCTGGAGTTGTCATCAGTAATTGGCAATAACTGGCCCCAGTGGTTTTGCTATTTATTATATTTTTGCATTAATCGACTGCATTAATCTGTGTGCGTTGGGAAGGGAACACACTCTCTAACTAGAGTTGCCACAGGCAACACTTGCCAATTTTGGAAAGACCAACAACATGCTCACAAACAATATGTGCCAATAATGGTGAATCACAGAATTGTAGAGTTGGAAGGGACCCCAAGGGTCATCTAGTCCAAACTCTTGCAATGCAGGAATCTCAGCTGGATCATGCATGACTGATGGCCACCCAACCTCTGCTTAAAAACTTCCAAGGAAGGAAAGTCCATCACCTTTCATGTGAGTCTTTTCCACTGTCGAACAGCTCTTACTGTCAGAAAGTTCTTCCTGATGTTTAGTAGGAATCTCCTTTCTTGTACCTTGAATTCATTGGTTCAAGTCCTCCCCTCTGGAGCAGCAGAAAACAATCTTGCTCCATCCTCCATATGACATCCCTTTAGATATTAGAAGATGGCTATCATAGTCTCCTCTTTACCAGGCTAAACATACCCAATTCCCTCAAGCGTTCCTCATAAGGCTTGGTTTCCAGACCCTTGATCATCTTGGTCACCGAAGCAGTCCCACTGTTGTACACTTTTAATGCCCTGGTCATTGCATGAGATTAATATCTTTAACAGGCTGGATCTACAGAACTGAAGGGTCATAATGTCAGCTTTCTCACAGAAGCTGTTATATTTGGACAACATTCTCTGCACCTTGTAGTTTATTTAGAGCAGGAATCGGCAGAGTCCAGACTTGTGGGAACGACTTAACCTTACCATATCCCTGAGACCCACCAATTTGTGTGATGTGCTTGCATAGTAGCTTAGTGGGGGCAGGCATAAACTCAAATCTAAAGAAGGACACCAAGTATATCCGAACACATGACCAAATCTCTCCCAAATTTTCTTCATTTCAACAGCCAGAAAAAGAGGTGAAGAGAGACACCGTTGGTATTGTTAATCTACTGGAGGTCAGAAACCTTTGCTGATCTACTGCTAGTCTCTCAGGGAACTGGTCTACCACTCATTCTTGATCCACCTTTTGCCCATTGCTGATTTTCTAGAGAGGAGATTTTGCATATCACTTGCTAGCACATCTTAGTGATAATGTGGGGATTACGTATCTCAGGAAATTTCAAACACCAGCCCATGTCAACAACTGTATTTTTAAAAGGGGGGGGGGACAATTAGTGGGAAATGAATATCCTGTTTGCCTAAACTTATAGAAATTCTTACTTCTGTTTCTAGAAAGTGGCTCTTTCAGGAATGAAGTTACAGTATCAGCTAATCAGCATAGACTTGACAGTAATTAATTACCATTCATTACGCTATCAGCTTCTTAGTATTCTCTCTTTACTAGTAACATTAATTCCGAAAGGACAGCTTCCCTTAGTGCAATTCCAACCTTTGGCTGCAATGCTTGCCCCACAGAATAAGACTATTGGCAATTTTTGTCATCTTGTATTCCTAGTATAGACCATTCTCACCTTATTAGTCCTGGTGGTGCAGGGTCTTGACATCGGAGTGAGGGAAAATATGCTACAAACTGCATATTGCAGATAGGAGATGTATTTGTAAGGCCAGGAGATATTTTGCCCCAACTATCTCAAAGAGTAAGTAAGTCCCACTGGGATCCAGACTTTGGGAAATGGCCCTGCTCTGGATCCAGCAAGGCTAAATCAATTACTACATTAATTCTAAGCACATTCTTTTCTTTTTGTAGAGCCAACTCTGTCACATGGAATCCACACAAGATGATGGGGGTTTTATTACAATGTTCTGCCATTCTTCTTCGGGAAAAGGTTTGCTTGCATGTTGATTTCTTTTTAAATGGTACAGAGCAAACACAAATATGTTCTGTTTCTACCTTTACAGCTTGTCCCAAAGAATCCTGGGAGCTGTAGTTTGCTGAGGACTCTGTGAGAGATCTCCCAAAGAACTACAAATCCTTAGGATTTCCTGGAGGAAAAAGCATGATTACTAAACCAATTTAAGTCTGTGGTTGTTATAGCTACAAGGCCAAAGACTTTCACTCTTCTCACCTTTCTATTGGACTTATTCAGTGCTATTTTTATAGAAAAAGAGGTGCCAGAACTCACCATGATCACCTCCCTCATTCAATGGCACCCACCTGAGAAGTGCCAGAACGGAGTTCCACCGACTTCGGGCTGAAAAAAAAGCTCTTGATTTATTTGTTTAGAGTATTTTTATTCCGACCCTTCAACAAGGTTTCCGGGTGGCATTGGCATGCCACACCTGTAGTCTTGGTGGCACCTAGAGTGCCTTATGTTGGTGTAGGTACAACTGGTTCCTATGCCTGCCAAATGGGATTTGGTGATTCCACTGTGTTTTCTTGCCTACTAAAAACTCCACTATAAAGGATAACCGAGGAACATCAAATAAGTAGAGTTGTCTAGTGTAACTGAGTCCACAGTAGTCAATGTGCTTTTAAGGGGCTCCATACATTAACTGTGCCACATTTTACACCCACCATTCACCTCTTCTCTGCCATGTTGAAGATCTCCCGATGTCACAAGGACGTTGCTACGCCATTGTAATATTTTACGTTGGCGCAGTGTTGGATTTTGCTGGTGTGGAGGGCTTTAAGGGTGAGTTTATCCTGTCCGGATGATGTAACTCATGGATAGGAAGATCACTGTTAGTCGCTGCCATGGGTATTTGTAGCTACATGCTTAATAGTCACAAAACTGGTCCGAGATCCAGGAGAACTAATAATATGCATGCAAAAAAGACTGCATGGGCAGCAGATGCTGCTTTCTGTTTTGCAGCCGTGAGCAGGCCATGCAATGAGGGGAGTTGCTGAAGTGAGAAAGTGACATACGTTCTGTGCATGCGGCACACTATATTTTATCTACTGCTTGATTTCTTATATTTGAAGAGGGTGTTTTCCTAACAGGGCATACTTCAAGGTTGCAACCAGATGTGTGCAGGATATCTGTTCCAGCAAGACAAGCAATACGATATAACTTATGACACTGGGGATAAAGCAATACAGTGTGGTCGCCATGTGGACATATTCAAATTCTGGTTGATGTGGAAAGCCAAGGTAAGCAATAAAATGTCAGAAAAATGCACATCAGTTTTATGTGAGAAGATAGTTCAACTAAGTCCAGAATGCGGCGGCTAGTCTGGTGACTGGAAGCGGCCGCTGAGACCATATAACACCAGTCCTGAAAGACCTACATTGGCTTCCAGTACGTTTCCAAGCACAATTCAAAGTGTTGGTGCTGACCTTGAAAGCCCTAAATGGCCTCGGCCCTGTATACCTGAAAGAGCGTCTCCACCCCCATCATTCAACCCGGGACACTGAGGTCCAGCTCCAAGGGCCTTCTGGTGGTTCCCTCACTGCGAGAAGTGAAGCTGCAGGGAACCAGGCAGAGGGCCTTCTCGGTAGTGTTGCCGCCTTGTGGAACACCCTCCCATTAGATGTCAAGGAAATAAACAACTATCTGACTTTTAGAAGACATCTGAAGGCAGCCCTGTTTAGGGAAGTTTTTAATGTTTGGTGTTTTATCGTATTTTTAATATTCTGTTGGGAGCCGCCCAGAGTGGGCGGGGTATAAATAATAAAATTATTATTATTATTATTATTATTATTATTATTATTATTATTATTAATCACTGTAGCCTTAAGTTCCCAGAAATCCAAATCTGTTAGTCCCAAATGTTTATATCTTCACAGATGGGGGAGAAAGGAGTTTTTGGAAACTTTTAGCAAAACCACATTCCTTTCCACAAAATTGTTTTTGGATAGACTTATCCCCAGAACCCTAACTTCTCCCAATACAGATTTTGGCAATTGCTTAATAGAATGCTTACAAGAATTTAATTTTTATCTGGTCATGTTTATTATTCATTTGTGTACAATTTTGTAACAGGAATATAAAACAACAAAAGAATGCTTATAAGTAAAGGCATTTAAACTAATGGTTCTTTTTGTTCAAGTAAAACTAAATATATGTGTATATGCTTGTAAGTCTATTTTCAAAACCTGTATTTCTTTTAAAAAAGGAATATATTGAAAATTCAGGTCTGCTTGAAGGACATGTTATTTATAGTTCATTTTTTAAAGATTCTTATTTCACACAGGCTAGAAAACATGGTGCAATTTGTAAAATTAAATAGTGGATTCAAAATTTAAAAATTACAGAGACCCTAAAGATGAAGATATACAACTTCAAAATTTCAAAAGAATATTCCATAGTTTAGCAACCTTCAGAATTTAAAAGAATAACATGGAAAATAAATATAGTTGAAGACAAATATTTTATACTCAAAGCTAACCAGAGCAAATATGTGCAAGGAAGAGTACAGAACTGAAATTTAAAAATGTTTTTTCTTTTTTTCAAAACAGGGTACAGTGGGATTCGAAAGTCAGATCAACAAATGTCTTGAATTAGCAGAATACCTCTATAATAAAATTAAGAACAGAGAGGAGTTTGAGATGGTGTTCGAAGGAGAGGTAAGCAATGGGCCACAAACTACTTTCAATTAAAAATGGGCATTTGGGGAATAGAAAATGCACCATCCAGCCCAGAGTTAAGTACTTTAAAGCCAGTGTTATTTTCAATGGGGGATATTTAACTACATGTTTGACTCACCAAATGAAGTCAATGGGGTGTAAAAGTGCTGAACTTTGGTTGGCTCACGGCAGGCCCCAGGTTTTCGTGCAGCCTTTGCCAACGAAAGCCTTGAAATGTAATTCCCCACCCCAACCCCAGTTTCAGCTAACTGGGCAAATGGTCACTTGTTTTTCTTTGTTTGTTTGTTTGCTTGCTTGCTTGCATTTAAAGGACAAAACTGCAGTATAAGTACTTAGCTGCAACTAGAACTGTACGATGCTTGCATGTAGGCTCTATTTGGCTCTGTGGACACATTTGAAAACTGGAGAAACTGTTGTAGACACACACACAGTGCTGGATTTACGTATAAGCTAAACAAGCTATAGGGACACGGGTGGTGCTGTGGGTTAAACCACAGAGCCTAGGACTTGCCGATCAGAAAGTCAGCGGTTCGAATCCCTGTGATGGGGTGAGCTCCTGTTGCTCAGTCCCTGCTCCTGCCAACCTAGCAGTTCGAAAGCACGTCAAAGTGCAAGTAGATAAAAAGGCACCACTCCGGCGGAAAGGTAAACAGCGTTTCTGTGCGCTGCTCTGGTTCACCAGAAGCAGCTTAGTCATGCTGGCCACATGACCCGGAAGCTGTACGCCGGCTCCCTCGGCCAATAAAGTGAGATGAGCGCCGCAACCCCAGAGTTGGTCACGAGTGGACCTAATGGTCAGGGGTCCCTTTACCTTTACCTAAACAAGCTATAGCTTAGGGCCGCACTCTCTTGGGGGCCCCAAAAAATATTAAAGGGGAAAAAACTGGATGTACATTTCCAAAATATAAGATAAAAAACAAATAAAATAAAACCTACATACAGCAACAGTGTTGTGTGTTGTGTAGGCTCCTATGATGTAAGTAATAGGCCCCGCCTGCTAGCCTGCTCCCTAAAATATCACTGCTTTGCTCATTTCTATATATAGGGTGCCTACATTCTGCATGGACTGGTTGCATGGCAACGTGTAGCATGCATCTAATGTGTTTGCATTATTAAGTTTGTTATGAATAAAAAATCATTTTAAGTTAGAGCTTAATAATTATTTCACTATTAATATACTTCTTCTTAATTGTATTTCATTGTTAATATACTTCTTCTTAACTGTATTTCAGTTCAACAATTACTTTGATAAAATACATATTTTGTTATGTGCAAATGGCTGTAGATACCTGTTAGGTCCATAAATTACCATATAGCATATATTCAACACAAAAACAGTGACAATTTGTTGTTGACAAAGGACAGCTGGATATAAAAAGGGCCCCATTACCTTCAGTAGCTTAGGGCTTCAACAAACCTAAATCTGGCCCTGTATACACACACACACACACACACACACACACACATACATACAAACACACACCCCACAACCTGCTCTGTTGTCAATAACAGAAGGCTTCTTTCAAGCCTAATTCCAGCAGGCAGAGAAGATATTGCAGATGCCATAGAAGGCAGGTAGCATGTTGGTGACCCCTATGTACAAGCCAGCAATCCAAAAACCATGGAACCAGTTCCATGAGCCCAAGAAGGATTTTATGCTTCCTTTTGCTGAATAATAGCACACCACACCACATGACAAAACGCTTTTTAAATTGGTGTTGGCGGCGAATCAGTTTGCAATATGGGTAGGGCTCAGCTGTAAACAACTGGAACGTGACAGAGAACGTATATTGGAAAATATAGGAGCTGCTACTAAATGAACATAGGGATATGTGGAATTTCAGCATCGTTGCAATGCTCAAACCTCAAGCAGTAGCGGGCAGCATGGTGGTGGTCAAGCACTTACCTGACTACCTGGCACGTGAGTCGTTGCTGCTTACAGGGAGCCGTGAGGCAGCAGGGTGCAGGGCAAATGCAATCGCTCCCAGTAAGCCAGTGATTCACCACCGGGAGGTCTGCCCCACTGCACTATCCACTACTGATCTGGAGTCACTTTTGGGTGGGCTTTATGCACCACCACAAACAGTTAACAAAGAAGTATTGCCCGTTCAAAAGACCATTGGAGAGTATTCCACGGAGGCAGGAATCCTGCGCTTCTTCCTGCAAAGCCACCGAATAGGAAAGTTCAAAGTGTGAAAATCCACTGGGCTTTTGTAAGCACTTTCTCTGGATTTCCCTTCCCCTCTTTCGCCTCAGAAGATATTTTGATGTGCCACAAGTTGAACGAATGGCACTGGCAACTAAAGGCCACGCTTCCCTAGGAAGATAAGGCTCATAAACTGATTGGCAACCCTAAAGTAATCTGCTCTTAGCTGAGATTCCACGCTTCATTTTCTGCTCTGCAAAGGTTGCTACTTTTGTTAATTCTGCTACTGGTGCTTTCTGATGGTTTCACTTCATAAACTTTGGCTGATTGGACACTTGAGTGTGCTCCAGTTCCTTATTTAACTTAAAAAACCCCGATTCTCTGTCTTTTAACAGGAGAGAGTGCCTTTCTGTATATACTGAGGATTTTGCTGGCACAGGAGTGATGGGAGGGAGGGAATGTGTTCTCATCCACTTAGTCCTAAATGGGCTGTTTGTATTCCATATTCATTATGAACTAATGTAAAAAAAGATCTGGAGAGAGAGAGTCTTAAGATGGTAGCTACATACAGAATTGCATCTATTGGCTGGTGCTATTTATTAACAAGCAAAATTTCCAGTTGTGGTTGAGAGGAGGTTCCTTTCACAGTGATGACTTACAACAGCTCCTGATCCAAGCTTCCCTATTCCTCGCTTGCATGCTCAGCCAAACTCCCAATCCTAAATTTCCTAAACTTTGGGGAGCAGGGGGTAACATTGGGGTACATCACCCAAAGTGTTTGGTGTGTGGTGAGATTTTTTTTTAAAAAAATGAAATCTGAATTTTTGTGTTAGTATTTTATTTACCTACAATTTTGATGAGTTTGCTTTGTTTCGTTTCTGTCTTTATAGCCTGAACACACAAATGTTTGCTTCTGGTACATTCCACCAAGTCTCAGAGGGATCCCAGACTCAGAGGAGAGGAGAGAAAAGCTACATAGGGTAATCGTATCTATTTTAATTACTCCTAAGCTTTTCAGAGGGACGCGGGTGGCACTGTGGTCTAAACCATAGAGCCTATGGCTTGCCAATCAGAAGGTTGGTGGTTCGAATCCCCGCAACGGGATGAGCTCCCGTTGCTCGGTCCCTGCTCTTGCCAACCTAGCAGTTCGAAAGCACGTCAAAGTGCAAGTAGATAAATAGGTACCACTCCGGTGGGAAGGTAAATGGTGTTTCCATGTGCTGCTCTGGTTCTCCAGAAGCGGCTTAGTCATGCTGGCCACATGACCTGGAAGCTGTATGCCAGCTCCATTGGCCTATAAAGCGAGATGAGTGCCGCAACCCCAGAGCCATCCGCAACTGGACCTAACGGTCAGGGGTCCCTTTACCTTTACCTTTAAGCATTTCAGGGCAAGCCCCCACAGTAAAACAAATACAAGAAAACCATGTAATAGTTGACCTCTGTGAAGATGGCTCAACCTTCTCTAAGCCAAGACCAAGGCCAGAGGTCTAGCTCTCTGTGAGAATCCAGAGATCCTGAGAAATCTTATAAGGAAGGGGATTTTTCACGTGGCTATTCCAGTAAAGAAACAAAGGACTAAACATTTCCCTTTTTCTATTTGAATCAAAAAGGTCGCACCCAAAATCAAGGCGCTGATGATGGAGTCAGGTACCACGATGGTTGGATATCAGCCACAGGGAGATAAAGCAAACTTCTTCCGAATGGTTGTCTCAAACCCTGCAGCTAGCAAGTCTGACATTGACTTCCTCATTGAGGAGATAGAAAGACTGGGGCAAGATCTGTAATCCCTTCAAATGACCCGTTTTACTTCTCTAACAGCACTATTTTCCGGTACTGGCTTCTTCTGGTTTTGGTTTGTTTGGGTGTTTTTGTAACCACTTCTGTAGAACACATTTTAAGGTAATCCCTTTTTAAATGTTCGATTCTTCTGAGACACCCTCCTTGAAAAAGAAAAGAAAAACAATGACAAAACCCCCCCCTGTATATTATGAAACATATATGTGTATTAGTAGGTTATTTTACCAAAAGGGGAAAATATATTATCTTAAAATGCATTGTCCGCCCTTATTTAAAAGCCTGGCAAATCTAGTTAGCAGGAAGCTAATAGTATTAAGATAGACAATTAAGAACTCTGCACAACCGATGTGTACAGTAATATATATAATATATAAATAAATGAATATATATATATATTATAAATAAAGTGGTGGTGAGCCTAAGAGTAATTCACAGTATATTTTCCAGTGCAGAGGTCTTCTCAGTCAAGGACTGCTCCTACACAGCTCCATTTGAATTAATGAGGCTTGACCAGAGCTGTGCTTGGAAGATTATACCCCAACACCCTCATTTCTTGGGAGTTACCTCCCTTGGTTTGAATGGATAGCACTGGGTACCATCCACCTTCCTAAGTTTCTCCTGATTTTTTAATGGGCGCAGTCAAGCCAAAGGTGAGCATTTTGAAGCCCCTCTGGAATCAATGGAACTTAAGAGGACTTAGCTTTGACTGGATCACGGCCAGGATGTGCAAATATTTAGGACTGGGGTGGGAGGAAGCTAATGTTTTCATCTAAAAGGTAAATCATGCAATAACTGGGCCGATGTCATATCCCAGACGAAGTTAGGTATGTTTTTAAAGATGTAGATTCTTAGGAACTAAGGAAAATGTTTAACCTTATTTAAACTTTGTTGCTGGTGCTTCTCTGATGTATAAAAGAAACAGCAACGCTTTCCTAAAAAGAAGCACCTACTAGATGTATATATGCCCCCTTTAGTTGTCATATCAGGGGATAGTAGTAGCTGAGATGTTGTGATAGGCCATAATATTATTGTTGTATTTTTTAGAATTTGATTTGTGTAGATTGTATACATTACTGTTAGACCGCGGGAGGAGGGAGGAACTAAATGTAATAGTTTTCCAGCAAGATAACTGTTCAGTTCTCGGTATATGAACTGTTTGCTTTCTTTATATGCAAAGATTTACCATGCTAAAGAGCTGTCTTGTATTTTCTTCCATTTGTAATGTATCCTATTTATATAATTATCAAAGTTCTAAATAATGTTTATTGGTATTTTAGTGTATTTGTGAGCCAAAGAGAAGATTAAAAATTAGTCAAAACGTTTATATAATAGTGCCCTTAAAACAATAACTTAATAGATGATTTTACTGTCTATAAGGAATCCTAACACTGTATATAGACTTTAGCCTAATGAAATACTTTCATTTTAATAGAATTGTCGCCTTTACTAATTGTACTGTAGTCTGGCTGTACGTTCTGTGTTCTGGGTGCTTTTTTAGTGAATCATGAATGCTTACATTAGACCGCTGCATACTCCTGGTAGTTTAGGGCCAAACTCTGTAATTTATTTAGATAAATTCTGTGGCAAGATACCCAAAGAGTGGTGATGATTCTGTGAACATGCTCCCAGATCTCATGAACCTCAGAAGGGTACCACATCAACATTTGGAGTTTATAAAAGAGAAGGAAAAGCTTGCCACAGGATATTTCACGTATGTATGGCTGCCTTGCCACAGTGATTTCCACATTGTTAAAGATATCAGATTTGCCTCAGATTTTATTTGCTAGGTAGTCAGTATTACAGATTCTCAGTCAACTGCCCTTCTAGAAGCTAACAAAGTCGCAGAACCGATAGAACTGTCTGTCAACAGAGTAACTTGACTCAAGCAACATCTTCTGACTGAAGAGCCTTCCCGAATATGCTGCTATGGCGATTAGCTTCAGTTTTAAGGCCTCGCTTTTCCAGCACATAATAAATGCTAAGGACTACAGCCCTGCACCAAGTTACCAACACGCGAGTCCCATGGAAAGGAATGGAATGTATATACGTCAACTGAAGTTTTGCACGGGTAACTTTATGGCCTGGATTAAAACAAAGCAAGCAATTGCTTTGTTGGAAAACATTAGCAATATTTTGACGAATGTTTGTTGGCATATGTGTAGCTTTTACCTTTTTGGTTTCCAAGTGTGGAATGAACAGCATTTAAAAGTTGCTCCCCACCCCCATGCCGCCCTCTGCTTTGGGTGCCCTCTCTCTTGCTCTCTATCTCTGGTTGGTTCTTCTGTGATCAGCGCTCCTGTATCGAGATGTGTCTAGACTGCCCTAAATGTGTTAAATGTCCATATGGTATTTTTTAATAGCATTTGGATGGAACAACCGAGAAGCCGTTTGCAAAGAGTCTTAACATCTGCTGCCTCTAATTAATCTCCAAATATAGAAAGTTTCGCTCTGAAATGAAAAAGGGAGAGCCACATCTGTATTTTTTTAGGCATGGTGTGATAGGTCTCTCGTTCTGTTTCTAGTGAAGGAACTTCCTGCTCCCCTCTTTAATCTTTCCAAGACAGTGCAGTAAAGATAATGGGCTCTTCTTGTTCTATGACCCCCTTCTTGCATCTTGACTTTAACATCTAGGAGATGATCTATGTTTGTTATCTAATCCAGAGCCGTAGTGATCATAAAACCACTCTGCAGTCCTGTGCAGTAGACATCCTGCTATTTCTGCTTCAGAACCATCATTTTGTTTTACGCAGCTCCTAACACAGGACAGGTACCACTTCCTTATAGTCCTTAGATACAATCTACCTGCAGGGTGTTCAGACTTGGAGTTATACTGAGCTTCAGCTACAAACAAGGAAGCACAAGTCAATAAGCCTTGTTGTTAGTAGCACCTACCTTCCTTTGACACTTGGGGCTTTGTGGGCAAGTCTCAATGGTGCAAAGGCTGAACACCTACCACAGGTACCATCAGCAGTGGCGCCCATGCTAGCTTTTTCTTCTGATTGAAATATGGGAGACTTTCTTCTTAGGCTTTTGATTTCTTTTCTAATCGCCAAGCGAAAGGTTGGCATGCCAATCAGCTGACTGATGACATATTTTTTTGACTCCAGTCAAATGTTCCAACGTTGCCACCGTGTAGATATTTGCTTACCTTTCAAAACTCCTTAGGCCATGCATAGTGCTTCGAAAGCTCTGAGAAACAGCTGGTGGGCGGCAATTGCAAAGCACTGTGCAAGGTGGAAAAATCCCTTTTGGCTCAGCTGCATCTCTAATCTACCAGAAACCTGACATTATATATGGCATCCGGTATGAGCAGGTACGTGTGGCTTGTTCAAAAAGGGCCTCACAGACCAAATGTGGAAACCTGGTGGCCCTTAATAATAAAAAATAATCTATTACTGGTACCCCACCCATCTGATTGGGTTGCCCCAACCATTTTGGGCTGCTTCCATCATATAAAAACCTAATCAAACATTTAAAAGCTTCACTATAGAGGGTGATTTCTAAAGGTTATATAGTTACTCATCTCCTTGACATCTGATGGGCGGGCATTCCACAGGATGCCACTACCAAGAAGGCCCTTGTGTCAGATTTTTCCCATAGTTGCATTAAAGTGCAATTTCCCTTGCCCTGCCACCCAAAGTCAATGAGAAGATAGCTTGCCCACTGGTCCTGCAGCAGTTGGGAGGCAAGTCTAGTGGGACAGCAAAGCATCTACAGACAGGAGCACAAAGAGTCCTCAGTGGCGAAGACCTAGAGGAACGAGAGTTGGACTAAGATCAGGGAGACTCAAGTACCAATCTTCACTCAACTATGATGCTCGTCAAAGGATGTTGTCACACCCTCAGCAGTTTAACCTACCTCACAGGGTTGTTGTGAGGCAAAAAAAAGGGGGAGGAGGGGGGTTGTATATGCTACCCTATCCTCCTTGGGGGAAGGGTGAAATAAAAATGTAATAAAATAAATAAAATAAAATAAATTCATTTTTTAAAGCCAATAATGTCATTGTTTCACAGTAAAAGCTACTGTAAATGCTCTTGAGGTGGGGATGAAGAGAGTCATTGTGCAGAAGACACTTGCACCAAGGGAACAATAACGAGTGAAACAGCACAAGAAGTTTGAATACTGTATTGACATTTTGCCATGGTAATAGAGCTCAGGTTCCTCAGTGCAAAATCAGCAACAGGCTGTTGCAGACTTCCTTTCACTCTTCCATAACTTAACAATTTGTGACCAGCTCTTCTCCCTTACTTAAGGAGATTCCATAATGGCATTTTCTGAGACTTGTAATAAACTCTTCCTGCTTTTGGCTGCCACTGTGAAATAACTCTTCCAAGCTCCTTCATTTCTCAGAACCCTCCAGATTCTAATCATTCCCATCTTATGATTACATTTTTAGCCCCACAATAATTGCTATTTGAATAACATGTTATAATCAGGACTTTTTTCCAGCCGGAACTCACCAGAACTCACTACTGACCCCTCTCAGGTGGGCACCATTGCCATTATAAACAGAACAAGGGAGGCGTTCATAGTGAGTTCTGGCACCTCTTTTTCTAGAAAAATAACACTGGTTATAACAAATGTATGAGGAAGGTAAGAGTTACTCTTTTGAGGATACGTTTGATGAGGTACTAGACATGTTCAAGATTATTTAGTGGATTATCTTTCTGCGTTCCTGTTGAGATCCTGTGAAGTAGGGACTGCAACTTTACTGTGTGGTAATTGACATCCCAAACCAATTTCTGGGGCTTCTCCTGAGACTGCTATCACGAGCCTGCATGGAGCATTTATTAAATTCTCCCTACATATATGTTGTTGATTTAGATAGTTGATTTTTTAGAAAGACTAGCACAGAAAACCAATTAGAGGAATCAACTCTTATTTCCCCTTCAGCTGAACTGAACCTCACCACAACTTCTCAAGTAAAAACCTTCCTGGAGCTTTCTTGTATCCATACACCACATTTTTGCGGATGAATCCTAGAATTGTTGAGTGGAAAGGGATCATGAGGGTAACCTGGTCCAACCCCCAGCAATCCAGAAATATTTTGCCCAATGTGGGACTTGATCAAGAGTCTCTACTGATTGAGCTGTAACCTACCAAGTAGATTCTGATTAGGCAGAATGGCAAATCTATGCAGGATGTGGCTCATTTATAGTGCAGCCCACACCCACCGCAATGAGCAAGTTTGGAACAGGAAGATCTTGGGCTGTCCTGGCCAAACTGGGATTACGCCAGCATAACGCTCTCAGCCTGGGTGAGGCAGGGCTATGCTGGCTCAGCTGGGGTTCAGCAAGTG